TGTGCCAGTCTTGTTCATTGTAGCTCACCATCATTCAAAGGAACAGCTTTCTCTTTTGTTAAAATTTATGTACTTGTTCTGCTCTCCTTTCCCAACTTGCTAAACCCATTCTTGTTTCCAAAGGCTTGTTTCCAAAGGTTCTACTTCAAATTTTTCAAACTACATATACCTGTGTACTCTCTCAACGAAAGCTAAATTCACCCATGACCCACAAAGTCAGTGATTGTGGCTACAATTAAAGTCATGAAGAGCTTCTTTACTCCTCTTCAGTAACTAGCAAACCAGTGTCCCCATGTAACTCTGTCTGACCTTCTTAGACCACATTCTATTCTTTCTTCAGAACTTCGTTTCCCAAGAAGCCTTTCTTAGTGACTATAAATAGCCATGTAGCATATAATTGTACTCATGGACAGTAAAATGCTTTCAAGGGTCTCCTTGACAGGCACCCCTGAATGGGAGGACATTTTCATTCAGGCAGGCTCACAACTTTCACTAGTTTTCCAGCTCTTTGGAAGTTATTGAACATCTGAATTACTACTTCTTCATTTATAGTAAGAGGTTAACAGTTACCTATAATCTATAAAGTTGTTTGAAGACAGATGAGAAATAATATGATGTGAAGTTTTTAAAAATTTCAGGCAGGCTAATAACTACAAGTGTGTACATCACTTAATCTTTTAAAGGTCATTTTAAGAAGTAAGCATACTATCTATCAGCAGGATAAGGAGATTTCTTGAAAATACACCCACATTAAAGACATTTTTAAGAAACATACTATTAATACTTTGAATTGGCAACAAATGATTCAAAGACTGCTGTATATTTATGGGTATGAAAAACTATTTAACTTCCTTGTATAACCACTTAAAGATACTAAAATTTTTTTAGAAAAAGAAAAATTATTAAATTATAAAAATTGGAGATGAAGATGCTTAATTTGCTTTATGAAAAGACAGTATTTCTAAATTAAGATTTTGATCTTTACACATGTATATTAATACCAGAAAAGTTTGTTGTCTTTACTTGTTCAATACAGTCAGTACGGTTAATGGCCTCAAAACCCATACTCATATGCTAAGTATACCTACTTATTGACTGGGGGAAAAAAGCCTGATAAAAAGAGTTTATCCTGGTGATCTGCCAATATTGACAAATATACTATTTTACCTCAAAAAAAAAAAGTAGGACAAAGCAATATAGTAGACAAATTTTCTAAATTTTTTTTCCCATGAAGAAAAGTTTATTCACTCCTAACCTAATAAAGATGGATTGGGAAACTAAATCTGTAAGACATGTGCTCTTTAGACCCCTAAATTACCTGACCTTTTTGTAGAATTTTTAAACTGCAGGGCTGCTTAACACTGATTTTTCTCTCTTCTATGATTCCAGGGGTGTTGAGGACATGAAGTTGGGGTAGAAGTAATTGTTTGGTGGATAGGCTATTACTGGGGAGTAATGAATTATTTACACAGACAATTTTAAGTTTGGGGACTTGGCTATATTTTTAAGTAAAAAAAAACAAGTTAAATAACTATGGTCAGCACATGAGAATAATTTTGACTTTAGTCTTTTCCCTATCTAAGCCTTAAAATCTCTATTTTTGGTATAGGTTAGCAGTTGAGTTCCAGAGTTCCATCCAGCATTCTGGCATATGGTCTTTATTGAGGTCTTTTGGGAAATCTTGCCTCACTTTTTCTTCTCCTTTCCACAAGTGCTCAGCCTCACAGGCCTACAACAAATCCAAACACTTCTAAATTTGCTCAGAAATTTGGAGGCGCTGAAAAATGTTCCAGATGTGGGGATTCTGTATATGCAGCTGAGAAGATAATTGGAGCTGGAAAGGTACAGTGCTGTTTTATATAAGTGAATGACCCCTCTCCACCCCCTTTCTCTTCTAACTGTATCCCACTCAGGCACAGTCCTTTACTTTGAAGTAATTATTTAACTGAATTCTCATCAGAATCATTAATGAAAGTGATACCTTTATTTGACTAATTTTTTAAACATAGAATCAGCAGCTCATGCTGTTAACTATTCAAGAGGTTGAGGTCAGGAGGATTATAGTTCAAGGCTAGCCTCAGCAGAAAAGTCCATGAAACTCCATACAAAATAACCAGCAAAAGGCCAGGCTGGAGGTATAGTTCAAATAGTAAAACACAAACTGAGCAAGCAAGCAAAGTGAGCATAAAGGGTTGAGTTCAACCCCCTATCCTCATTATAGGCAAAACCCAACAACTCATTTTCATAAGGATGTTCCTGAAGGTTAATTTTAAAAGGCTATGCTGTAAAAAATCAGGAATCTGCAGGTTATTCAATATAATCAAGATCAGGAACCTAGATGCTAATTAGGCAAAGTGGATATGAAAAAGTTATTGGCACTATCACCTCTGAATGCTAAGTTTTCAGTAAGAAACAACTTGACTCTATTTATGTGTTGCACAAGTAGAGACTGTTCTTAGGGAAACAGGCTTCTACAGCAGAGCTCCCAGTCAGGGTCTCTGAATGGAGTTTGAAGATAGCCCTTTGTGGCTTGCCAGAATACAAATGCAAAAGAGAGCCAATTTCAATGTTCTAGCATCATGGGCTTGCTGTGACTTGATCTTCCCAAGTACTTTCTTGTCACATCTAAATCATATTGCAAGAAATGGGTCTCTTGAACCTACTAACAAATCTGTCTCTTCCAGCCTTGGCACAAAAACTGTTTCCGATGTGCCAAATGTGGCAAGAGTCTTGAATCAACAACTCTGACCGAGAAAGATGGTGAAATCTATTGTAAAGGTAAAGCCGATTTCTTAACACTATGCATGTAGGTGTCTCATTGTATTATTTAGTAAAGTGACATCATTTTTAAAAAGTACTCTGCAAACAGAAAAGTAGACATAGTATCATTATTTGAAAATGAGATGCAGAGTCAGAGATGCTTACAAATGAACAGAATTATAATCTTAAATTCCTGTCCATTTAAAAGTTCCCACAGGGCTGGACTCTGTAGCTCAGTGGTAAGAGTACTTAACTAGAATCTGTGAAACCCTGGGCTTAATCTTCCGAACTACAAGAAAAAGAAAAGCAAACAAACCTTGAAAATTTTCCCACAGATTAACATGCCACAAATAGTCTTCTTTTGACTCCATGTTTTTAAAAAGAACCTAACAGCACACAATGAAAGACAAAATTAAGCTGCTTAGCTTTCATATTTTTAACTCAGTGGGGCCATTAGCTGAACACAGGAACCAGAATGATTGGACATACCTTCACCACATGAAGATATTCACAAGAAAGCACAATCTGCCTTAAGTAATTTGGAACACCTTATGGTTTTCTTTGTTTATGGAGATTTGTCTTAAGCAGGGCTAAAAAAAGCCTGATGATGGATTTATATTGTTCTTTTTCCTTTGTAGGATGCTATGCAAAGAACTTTGGGCCTAAGGGATTTGGCTATGGTCAAGGAGCAGGAGCTCTTGTTCATGCTCAGTAAAGGAGTAAACCCAAAACCAAGCATCACACACTGAGAATCCCTTCACAATCTAGACACAGTCTGATCACACCAAACTCTACTGTGAAATTCTACCAGCCTTAAGTACTGTACATTATGCTGTACATATAGGTTGGCTAACTTTGTATCTTTTTGATTTATTCATCCACTTTTTGGGAACCATTTCTTTTCCATTTTAAATAAAATTCAGCTTGATTTAAGTGTTTGTCTTCATTGTAATTAATTTTTTTTGAAGAATTGCTATGATTTCTGTTAGTAGAAAATTATTTTGTTAACAGAATTCAGCTTCATTACTCAGTTGACTCATTCTGTGAATGTGTGCATTACAGGTGATGACAGGATCTCTGTTAAGCTGGCAAGTATGCCTCAAGTGAGGGTTGCTAAGCAACAGCATCATTTCATCTCCTCAGAACTGGCATTCAGCAACACAGCATCTCATTCTTTCCTGCCCTATTATATATTGTAGCCTGGTTACTCTTCTCTATTGCAATCTGAATTCGCATCACTTAAGAGTACTAAAAAGCAAATTTAAAAGCCTAATTTATCTCTACCAAAGCAGAATCTCTAGAGGCAGGTCAGCCACAGGAACCCTTTTAAGAAGATTCTCAAAAATGCAGTGACCCAGACTTGTAACACTGTTAAAACAAAACAAACCCTCAAGTTCTTTTATCAGTATTTTAACATCATTACAGGTAACTATAGAATGTGAGGCTTAACAGGACTTTTTAGAAACTCCACTTAATAGATACGACTTAACTACATCCTGAAAACTGAGGTGCTTTATTTACTTCTAATTCAGTTTCAGTTCTGTGCATGTAGCAAGTTCTTTGCAAGAAGCCAACAACCTTGCATTGTCTAGAAACATTTATTCTGGGATGAACACCAAGTGGATAATGAAGACAGAAAAGTACCTGATGGGTATGAAAACTGCTGGCCTGTTTCACTTTATAAGTCCTACAAAATACTGGGACTTAAGCTCTGGACATCTTGGAAGTTATTTTTTTTTCAATACCATAAAAGAATTATGAATTAAGAATTGGACCATTCTGAAAATGCTCTTGTTTAATACTATTGGTCCTCAAACTGAACAACCACAGGAACAATGGGAACGAGTCCCTTAAAAATTCTTGCTTTTGGAAATCTTTTGTTTTAAATTTGATTGCTTTACCATACAATATTTTAGATACTGCATTTTGACTTACACTTAAAACTCAGGCTCATATAGACCCCGAGAATCCTAAGTAACTCCAAAATTAACTCCAGAATTCATAAAGAAAAAATTACTTTTATTAAAACATTACACACATGCATACACACAGAATTGAAAATTCGAGAACTGGGAATTTTTAGAATATGATCTACTTTTGCAAATTCCTAAAGCCTATGTCACTTTATTCCTAGTTTAATAGTATATAAATATATAGGATTAATATTCATATAGGTACCACAACCAATGTGTCATCAATTTCCTCAAGTGAACTGAGTGAAATTATAAACAAGCACACACTTAAGAGTCAATATTTATTCTGATTAATATTTTACAAAATTTTGACAGATTTATATAAGGAGAACTAATTTATTAAACACTTTACAGGTTTTCCTTTCCACAAAGTAACACAGTAAGTAGCAAAATAATACTTGGCACAGTTATAAATAAACACAAATTAAAAACATCCATAGCTTAAGTATGATGCCATTTTATGTCTGTTAATATTTCAAATTAATTCCTACAAACAACAAAATGAATGAAAAACCCCAAAGAAGTAATTCTTGTTTACAGCTGAGAATTAAGTTCTTATTTCCTGAAAGAATCCAATTAATATATATCAACTATTCCCAAAAACTTAACCTCATAGCCAACTTTAGAGCTAGGTTACTAGTTCAACACAGGACCTACGAAATAATTAAGCAGATGGCATACTGCTGCAAAGCTGGCTCCCAGCCATCTGACAATTCTGAGTTGTAGATTCACTGCTGCTATGAAATGGTTAGTACTAAAAGGATTCTCCTTGCAAGTATTTTCAACTAACACAATTAAAAGAGTTTTTTTTCCCCTGTTTAACTGAGAGGCATCTCTTTTGTACTGAAAAGAATATCGTACCACAAAGAAAGCACATGGTAACAACATTCTTACTATAATTCCGAGAAAACCATCAGTCTTTTAACTGTAGATAAAAATGTATTTGATAAAAATTACAACTGAGTCTTCATGTGAAGTGATCAAAATACAAAAAAATTAAAACAAATCCTAGTATTTTATAAATAACTTTGAATTAAAAAATTATCTAAAATTTCCCCCAATTATTAATCAAAACTATCAGAGACTTTTGTACAGTTAAACCAATTTTTTTACATCCTATGACAAAATGCCACGATGCTATTGCCACCCCACACCCATCTCTTCCCTTTTCAAAAATAAAGTACATATGCCAATTTTCTAATATTAAAACACTCAGGTACACTAAGGGTCATCTTTTTGATGTCTGACTGTGGTCAAAGAAATTACTATATAAAAATGGTAGTACTTGGAAATACTGAACATCAACTATATACATTTTCACTGCTCCTCTTACTAAGGCAAGGGGCGGGTATACCACTAGATTGCTTTAATACCTGTACTTTTTGCATTTTACAGGGAATACTAATTTTTACCAAGCATCAGGCATGCAGTGAACTTGCAGAGTATAATGCCTATTAACAGCAATATTGAACATCACTGGAAGCTCATTAATATCTCCCTTTTCTTTTTTGGTTGGAAAAAATGAGATGAGCAGCATTAAAAACACTAATACACAGACACTTAAGAAAACTACTTGATAAATTATTTATATACAGATACACATTCTTTACACTGGTATAGCATCTGTCATGAGTTTGACCTCCCTCCCTGGACCCTCCCTCTACCCTATTCCCTCTCACAGGTTTCCCACAGGTTGCTGGAACCACAGTTTGCTACAGCATTTAAAGAGGACTAAACCAAGTCTCACTCTGTAAACAATACTCATGAAGCAGTGACTAGTAGTTCACCATGAGGATATGGAAATGCTGCAACAAAAACTGATCAGTGCATCACATTTAACAGCAACAAAATCTTCCTGAAATTGTTTCTGACAGCATTAACAAACTTCAGAACATTCAATACTGGAAAGAAAATTGAAATGATTTGGGGGGTTAAATTCTACTTTTTCTTAGGTTATTTAAAAACACAGGAATGTACCATTAGCTTTTCTTTTATTCACATGTGCTATGTACAGAGGTCATGCTCCATCTTCAGCTTAAACTGTTGGTTTTTTCCTACAATTTGTTTTTCAGCTTGCAGCTCAGAATTTGAAAAATACATCCATCTATCTCTATTACTGAGAATTTTGCACGAGCTTATTTTGCCTTTTGTTGGAAATCCCAACTCTTAAAAATTTGAAGGTTTGCACATGAAATTAAATTGTAATTTATGCTTCACTGGATATTATCTGATAATATACAATCTATGCAGTGTATCATGCACTTAGTAGGGCATTTAAATTTCAACAGAATAATATGACTTAGTATTCTCATGCAAGTGCTTTATTATCAGACCATAAAACCTCAGAGCAAGGTTACTACAAATTATTTCACTGAACTAGAAATAGGCCAGCATTGCAACAGCTGATGGAAACAAAATAGCACATTTCTTTGTGAACATTATTTCCTGTGTCTTTGAAGACACATTATAGTAGATCCCTAATAAAACCACATGATTCTCATTACAGTATTCACATGTACATTCTAAAATGTACACAATATTAATCAATCACTTTAAGACAATCTTCTTGGAATTAGATGAAATACTCCCTAGTATTGCATCATAAAGTTTACCACATAACATAAATTTAGTTTTGGTTAGAACGGAACATTTCTGATCAGTATGCCATGTCTATCAACAGAGTAAGTGCACTCTGTGAAAAATGTTATGAGAACAAAAACCAAAGGTTGAGTATGTTGTGAATTCCCACATTAAGAACCATTAAAATTATTTTTATGATCTTTATTCTTTCCAGAAGTGGCAGTGTGTTCTGTCCATGTTTACTTTTATTAATAAAAGTGTTGAAAAAAAAAAAAGACTGTAAAATTCACTGTTAGCTCTACACATAGCATGCTATTGTTCCAAGGATGTGGATTTGAGTGTGAGAGACACAGACAGACACAATTTTCAGGCACCACTCAGCAATATGCTTCATTGGATAAAGATGTTGCTAGACAAGTTGGTACCCAGATCCTGATATTTGGTCATATTCTATTGTATATTGTCTGGTCCAGTCCACGATAACAGGACGAAAGAGGCCACAGCATCGAAATTCAAAGAAGTCTATAACATTCCTTACACATCCATGGCTAAAAACAACCCCCAACAGAAAAGACTTAATTAGTACAAATGCTTTAATTCAAATTTAATATAAAAATAACTCAATTTTATGTTAACATTTTTTTCCTAAACTTAAAAACTGGTTGTTACTGGTTGTTTTGGATAAGGAGACAAATGATGTCTCTATAACTGAGGAAGAAAATATAAGACAAACACAACATGAACTGAGCAGTGGCTCTAAGAGTAACAATCTGAAGAAATACCAGTTTTACACCTTGTGTAATTATTATACCTGCTAAAGAATTCTTTATTTTTATTGAAAGATTTGCTAGCTTCCCAGAAGTGTGCAATAATTTATACTACAAAAGCCTGAGTAAAGAGTATTGGGATTTCATATAATTATGACACTACTATTTACCATTTCAAAGCATTAAACTAAATGTAAATTCTCAAAATATACATGAACCAATACCATAAACATGTACAGTTAATGAGATTAATTCTTTGTTATAGTATTAAGAACTAACCAATTCTACTTCAGCAAAAATTTGAAATTTAGTAACTTTTTTGGGGGGGACATAGGGGGTGGGCTGGTCCTGGAACTTGAACTGGACATCTACCACTTGAGCCACAGCGCCACTTCTGGCTTTTTCTGAGTAGTTTATTGGAGATAAGAGTCTCATAGACTTTCCTGCCTGGGCTGGCTTTGAATCTCAATCCTCAGATCTCAGCCTCCTGAGAGGGAGGCTGAAGCAAACTTGATTTCAAACTCCCTCAAGAAGTTAATGAAGCTGGGAGCCAGTGGCTCAATCCTATAATCCTAGCTACTAGGCAGGCACTAAGACAGGAGCTCACTTTTTGCCTGGGTTGGCCTAGACCCAATCCTCCTACTTGTACTTCCCATAGAGTAGTAGGGATGATTGGTGTGCCAACAATGCTCAGCTTTTTACTGGTTGAGACTGGGGGTTCTTGTGAAATTTCTGTCCAAGCTGACCTTGAACCATGATCCTCCAACCTAAATCACCTAGGTAGCTAAGATTATAGGCATGAGCCACCACAACTAGCCTTGAATTCAGTAATGTTTAAAAGCAGTTTACATATTGCTAGATAAAAGAAATATTCCTTATTTTACATCCTATTGCCATCCCTATAGACAATACTTTCTTTGATGTATTCACTAGACAATTACTGAATTTGTTTAGAGACAATTTATGTACAAGGGAAAACAGTAAATTTATAAATATGTACATACTTGAATGGGCTTTCAATAGATGTTGTTGTAACTTTAAAGTGCTTGTATCTTCTTGCATTCATTCTTTCATTTGTTGTAATGCCTAAACATGATATCTACAAAGAAAAAGAACAGAACTCATTACTTTGTTTTAATATTTAATGTAAAAAGTTAATTCTCAAGAGGACTAGCATTGTTTCCCATCAAGCCAGTCTACATGGTATCACTGACTGTGAAAATAAGTCAATTAAATATGAAAAATATTTTAGAACAAGTAACCAGTAATTGTGCCTTATACACATGGATACTGTGTGTGTACACAGACAACATCTCTAGCCGTTTTTATAATGAGTTTTCTTTAAAATCCACAATTTAAGTGAGTGCCTATAATCTCAGCTACTCAGGAGGCTAAGATCTGAGAATCATGGTTCAGTCACTCTAGAATTCTCAAGACTCTCATTTCCAATAGCCACCAAAAAGGTAAAACTGGAGAAGTAGTGTAAGAGTACCAGCTGTAATGGAAAAAACTGAGCAGAAAAGCGTTCATGCCCCAGTACCAGCACAATAAAAAAACTCTGCAGCTCAGCCAGGCACTTGACTGTAAGTGTAGATAGACAATTCAAGAGGGCAATACAGGATTTCAAAAAACAAAACTGGGGGCTGGGAAGATCGCTCAGTGGTAGAGCGCTTGCCTTGCATGCCTGAGGCCCTGGGTTCAATCCCTCAGCACCACATAAGCAAAAAGAAAAAAGCCGGAAATGGCGCTGTGGCTCAAGTGGTAGAGCGCTAGCCTTGAGCTGAAGAGCTGAGGGACAGTGCCCAGGCCCAGAGTTCAGGACCCACGTCTGGACCCAAAAAAAAACCAAAAAAACAAAAAACTGAAAACAAAATCCTTAGTTTGTAAGCTCTGTGAGTAAGTAATGATATATAATATAAAGTGAACGACATGTTCAACTGCATGTATCTAAATTGGGAGTAACAAAATTTTCTACTGAAAGCAGTACCAAGTCAGAAATTCATAATACAAGAGAAAGGAGGAAAAGAGGGAGGTAAAAAGGAAAAAAAAATGTTTTTTCCTGTCGATCGTGGGGCTTGAACTCAGTACCTGGGCTCTGTCCTTCAGTTCTGCAGCTCAAAGCCAGTGTTCTACCACTTGAGCCACAGCACCACTTCCGGTTTTCTGGTGGTTAATTGGAGATAAGAGTCTCAGGGACTAGAAGTGGCGCTGTGACTCAAGTGGTAGAGCGCTAGCCTTGAGCTGAAGAGCTGAGGGACAGTGCCCAGGCCCAGAGTTCAAGCCCCATGACTGACAAAAAAAAAAAAAAGATCTTTACAACCATGTATGTACAAAAACAAAACAAACAACAATGGGGCTGGGAAGTTGGCTCAGTGGTAGAGCGCTTGCCTTGCATACCTGAGGCCCTGGGTTTTGATTCCTTAGCACCACATAAGCAAAAAAAAGAAAAAAGCCGGAAGTGGCGCTGTGGCTCAAGTGGTAGAGCGCTAGCCTTGAGCTGAAGAGCTGAGGGACAGTGCCCAGGCCCAGAGTTCAGGCCCCACGACCGGACCCCGCCCCCCCCCCCCCAAAAAAAAAGAGTCTCAGGGACTTTCCTGCCCAGGCTAGCTTTGAACTTCGATCCTCTGATCTCAGCCTCCTGAGTAGCTAGGATTATAGGTGTGAGCTACCAGCACCCGGCAGAAAAATAATTTTTTGAAAATAAAATTAATCCTTAAAAAGCCAGAGAAGTTAAGAGAGAATTACCTTATTGTCTTTTAGGCAGGGAAGGAATTTTTAAAGGATTTTAAGCACTGAAGAAACAAAATGCACTTACACATACCTGGTACATCTGACACATGAGTAACACAGCCACCCACATGAAATGAAAAACACTATTCAGAAACATCCAAAACATCCAAGGTGAACAAGTAGCAATCTGAGTAATATATGTCCAAAATCCATCCTTGGTGTAGGTGGTCTCACAATGAAGTCCCCAATCTAAAGTCAGAAGACATGTGATTGAGATTCACTCTATAATCATCCAACTACCTCAGGTAGACATCTGAACTGGTACCACTTAGCACAATCTAACAATCTATATTTAACCGATAATACATAAGAACAAATGTTTTTATGTCCCTGAATAATCTTAATACTTATTAGCAAAAAAATAGAACACAGAAATAAAAAAGCAATCTTAAAAAATGAACTGCATGTTAAAATTAACTATTTTCTATGATATCAAATCTACATAATACTTAAGAAGAGTCAAAGATAAAGTGAAAATGTTTTGGAGGATCTAGAACAGGATCATTTCAGGTGGACTTGCACCTTAACCGGGCACTGGTGGCTCATACCTGTAATCCTAACTACTCAGGAGGCTGAGATCTGAGGATTGTGGTTTGAAGGCAACCTGGGCAGGAAATTCCATGAGACTCTTATCTCTAATAAAATACTCAAAAAAGCCAGAAGTGGCACTGTAGCTCAAGTAGTAGAGTGCTTGCCACAAGCAAAAGCAACTCAGGGTCAGCACTTAGGCCCAAAGTTCAAGCCCCAGGACTGGCAAAACAAACAAAACTCCCTGTTCTCAGAGAACTGCTACCAAAAGAATTGCTTTTATTGGCTTTTTATTGCTTTCATCTTTCATATGTTGTGCCAAAATATTTTAGTGGGTAGGAGGACTAAGAATCCTTCTAAGAGTTATTTTTAAGGCAGGATGTAGTACATCTGTACTTTGAAGTCCAGCTTGGGTTTTCAATGCAAAACCCAATTTTCCCATAAGACACTAAACTCATTATCAAGAGTAACAACTTAAGAAGGTAACTTCTAAGAATAAGGTAATAATTAAATCATGCTTTTCAGAACATCTTATGTACTGTACAAACTTAGTTTTATTTTTTCAAATATTTGGTAAAAAAGAGGAATTAACACCATCTCTGTGTTTACATATTACTAGAGTCATGCAAGCATGTGTAGTGAAATGTTAGTGTATTTTACCCAGGAGCTTTTCAAAGCCTACTAAACCAACAAAAGATGTATACACTAAGAAGTGTTTATACTATATGTTAAATATAATTAATCTACCTTATTTTTTTTATTCCTCAGGTGCCCCAAACCATATATATATAGATCTCCCCCCCCCCCCCCCCCCCGATGGTCCTAAGGGCTTCTAATTTGGGCATAGATGCTATCCCTGAGCTTTTGTGCTCAAGGCTTGCACTCTACCATTTGAGCTACAGCTCTACTTCTGGCCTTTTTTGTGCAAACCATTTATTTTGTTAAAGACTTTTATCATTACATTAATTTGTTAATCCAGTTAAGTATAACCTGAGTATACAAACATTTAAGAAGCCAAAAAACTAATTGTACTCACAAGAAATACAACCATAAATCATCCAGCAGATCATAAAAAGCAAGAAGAATAGGTAGCCCATAAAGTATCTATGGTTGCCTGCACCTAAAGAACACAGAAGCAATTTTTTTTTCAGCTAAGAAAAAACAACTGGTAAACACCTTTGAGGGGTACGCTATGAAAGGTGTGATACAATTTAGATAATAATGTACATTATTATTTAAAAACTGGTTTTCAGAAAATAAATATTTTAATAAGTCCTAAAATAAAAATGCTTATAATTATACACAAAGATGTGATGACTGCAATGATGTTTGTTCCAAAGGTAAAAGTCCCCAAGAATCTGATTAACAGTCGACTTTAAATCCAAGTCTTTTTTTTTTTGAGGAACAGATTCAAAATAATCTTATCTTATAATACTACTTCTTTATAACCAGCTCTTCAGAGGCTTCTCTCCTACAGTCAAAGCTTTCATAATGCTTCCCTTCTATGGCCTCAACCAATTTCCTAGGCCATCTTGCAGATAACTTCACCATCTCTTCAGATTACAATGAAGGATGATTATTCTTGAACATGGAAGTGCGCAGAATTCTTACCTTTCATTCCTCTGTCATTTCAAGTATTATCACTTTACTTACTGTAGTTTTGATGTAAAACAAGAAGTCTCTTTATGAGATATGTGTCATTGTTACCCAGAAGAGAAGACAGAACAAAGGCACCAGAGAGAATGGTAACAAAACCTCTCTCTCTCTCTCTCTCTGTCCTGAGGGTTCAATTAAGGGCCTGGACACTGTCCCTGAGCTTCTTTTGCTCAAGGCTAGCATTCTACCACTTGAGCCACAGCACCACTTCTGGCTTTTTCTGTTTATGTGGCACTGAGGAATTAAACCAGGGCTAGGCAAGCACTCTACCACTAAGCCACATTCCTAGTCCTCGTCAATCTCTTTTAGACACCGATTTTTAACTTTTTTTCTCTCCCAATTGAGTTGCTGTTTTAGGCCAAAGAGGGGGCATAAGAATGAACTTTTAACTACTAACTCACATTAACTTAAATGCACAATATACTTAGAAATTACTACTTACCTACACAGTTACCCACCCATGGGCAATGGTGATCAAATTTTGCTATGCAACGGTTGCACACACCACAGTGTTTGGACCTCACTGGTTTCCGAATCTGTTAAAAGGCATGGTAAGGACATTTTTATCTTCTCAAAATATAATTATGAAAAAATAAAGTATGTTTTTAACTAGTTTATTGTTTCAAAAAGCAACAAAATAAAAAATTTACTATTATTTTAATGTAAGAACAACTACTACAACACAGACTTTAAAAAGATACTAACGACCAAGCTGATATTTAATTATCTCTCTCAAACCTCTGAATAAAAAACTAGTAATATTCTGAAAGCTCATTAGTGACCATATTACTGGTTGTCCCTACAAAGTAAAACTGTTCCTTAGTTTTAAAAAAAGACTAGTGAGTGAAAGCACCTTTTAAAATTTAAAGTCATTATTAATAAAATTGCCTTCTTATAATTAGTCCTGTATGTATACACTGATTTCTCCTTAAGTGATTCTTGAGATTTTAAAGTTCATCATGTTCCCTTCTCAGAATTGAGTCACTGATTTTTACAATGAAAAGAAGAAATGTAAAATCCCTTACTCAGCTCCACAGGCAACAAAAATTGTCTTTTTAGAGTGTCTTGCAATGATTTTTACCCTCTGTGCAAAATTAGACAAGAAAATACAAAACTCATTGGTGATTTTCAGAGTTGCAGTTCCAATGCTAACTATATGACAAGACCTAGAGTTTTTACCCCAAGACAGGAGTACATTTTTTCTAACATCCTCCACCAATTAAGTACATTGGTGTTTCAATAAAAGCAGTGCCATTTCCTATCACTCAGTATAAGGTTATACCCTATAATGAGGTAACAGGAAAAGGCTCAGGTAGACAATGTAGTTGTTTTTTTTCTACCAGCACATTTTTTTTTTTTAATTGTGAAAATACCATACAGAGGGGTTACAATTACATGGGCAAGATAACGAGTACATTTCTTATCAAACATGGTTGCCTCCTCCTTTGTTTCCCCTTCCCATTCCTTCTCATATCCTCCCCGTACCCCTTACCCTATCCTCCCCCCCCCCCCACCAAGGTTCATTTTTCGACATAACAACTTGAACATCCCATTGTTGCAATGGGTCCTACTGTATCATTATTTAAACGATTTGATTTTTTTCCCTTCCCTCCAAAAATAGTTCTTATACCTAAAAAAAACCTGTGGATAAAAAGAAAAGATGAGCTGTTGTTCATCATCACTGATTTGAGATTAATTTATTTACGAGAGAACTTTCAACCTCATCTATATTTTCCCTTTGGGAAACACTAACAAAAATATGACTAAGAGACTAACTGGTGAAGAAGTGACTCAAATGTCTGATTATTGGGCTGGGAAGATGGCTCAGTGGTAAAGGCTTGCCTTCCATGCATGAGGCCCTGGGTTCGATTCCCCAGCACCACATAAGAAAAAAGCCAGAAGTGGCGCTATAGCTCAAGTGGTAGAGCGCTAGCCTTGAGCTGAAGAGCTGAGGGATAGTGCCCAGGCCCAGAGTTCAGGCCCCATGACCAGACCCAAAAAAAAAAAAAAAGAAAAGGTTAAATGTCTGATTATTGAACATAATAGTATTCTTAGCTCACTAACATTCAATGCATTTTTAGAAAAGTGATCAATATTTTTCTTAGGGATTAGTTTATCAATGTTGAAGGATACCCATACAGTGACAACTACCTCCTAGATTTAAATCATTTTATAGTAGAGAATATGCTCTTTACAAGACATTAGCTTTCCCAAAGAATATGACTTTGTTTAAAAGTATATAATAAAAGGTTTCTGTTATGAAGACAAAATGTCTTGAACTTGTCAGCAGATATATATTTAATAATAAAACTGCTACTTTAGCTGGGCACCAGTGGCTCACACCTATAATTCTAACTACTCAGGAAGCTGAGATGTGAGGATTGCCGTTCAAAGTCAGTCTAGGAAAACAGTGTGAAAGTCTTATCTCCAATTAACCAGCAAAAAGACTCAAGTGAAGCTGTGGCTGTAAGATAGCACCCATGTCCTGAGTTCAAGCACTAGTATCAGCCAGAACAACAATTCCCACTGCTACCTTTATTGAATGACTGTATAATGTGTCATCATATGTGATGAGTACTTCCATAGAAAAGTAGTGTATCAAGCACGTAAATTATTCATTGTAAAACACACACACAAAAAAAAAACCTTATAAACAAATTCCTGAAAACAAAACTGAATCTAGTAATACCCTAAAAGTACTACCGAAAGTTTATTTTGAGCAGTCAATATCTGAACTGATCAAAGAACCATAAATGTAACCACCTAATCTAGGAAATTAGGGTTCCGTTGCCAAAAACTATTCCATAGTTTTCAACTAAGTCAACCACTTTCTTATTAACCAACACTAAAGTATTAATTACTTGTGATGTATAAAGTACATATATGATCTGGGGATATTCACATATGATTTAAGGATATTTCAATGGCAAAAAGTCATTTAATGCCGGATGTCAGTGACTCACGCCTGTAATCCTAGCTACTCAGGAGACTAAGATCTGAAGATTGTGGTTCAAAGCCAGCTTAGCCAGCAAAGTCCATGAGAGTCATCTCTAATTAAACAACAGAAAACTGGAAGTGGCTCTGTGGCTCAAAGTGGTAGAGTGCTAGCCTTGAGTGAAAAAGTTCAAGGATAGTGCCCAGGCCCTGAATTCACGCCCCAAATTCACACCCCAGGACAGGCAAAAACAAAACAAACATACAAAAAAAAACCACCCAATAACAAAAAACACATTAAAGCATTGTAACAATCACATATAAGAAAAAATACTCTAGTAATTTGAACTTACAGGGATATTGATACAAATGGGCTCTAAGAATGAAGATAATCATTTAAAAGCATTTAAAAGAATCACTGCAATAATCTGTTATTTCCCCCAAATACTATACAAAATTAAGTAAAAGAGAAAAGTACTGCTTGATAAAAAATTGATGTCTACAACAAAATAAAGTGTCACTATTACTAAAATGGACTATAAAACAAATGTTACTCCACTTCATACTATTTTGATTATATATGACCTATTAAAGATGACTGCTTTTAGAATCAATGACAAAATAATGTTCAGTTACACAAATAGTACTGAAATAGAACTTGTTGGAAAGCTATCTTGTCTGAAAAGTGATCTAATAAATTTTCAATGTTTTAAATTTTAAAATTCTTAAAATGTAGTTCAGAAAACAATATTTTAAATTATAAGTATTTCATCACTGATTTTTAAGCTTATTGAGTTACATTTTAAGAGACTAGAAAGAGAATGAATATGAATGAAAAGTAGTACTGAATGAATGTCAGGTCTACTAAAAGAAGCAGGTACACTGGAAAGGAGAAATCCTCTGTCTTTCCTCTTGTACCATGGGCTAACATATTTTGGAGGAGAAGGGTATAAAGAAACTTTCCTTGCTCCTCACATCCTATGTATTAAACAACTGTCAGGAGGAAAGAGAGGAAAACAGAAAAGACAATATTACCAAGCAGGTACTACAGAATATACTGAGGTCCAGACTTCCCGTCTCTGCAAGTTCAACTATTGTCTGTGAATTAAAAGAATATATATTATTTTATTCAAAACTGAATATGTTCACCAACTCTTATGCCATCACTACAAATCACTACCATGCATTAAACATGATGCTCATCTTTACATTCCCTGAACTTTCAACTCAAAAAAAAATCTTTTGATTAAAATTTTATTACAATATGAGTACAGTCAGAGCAGCAAATTCAAGTAGCTCAGAAGAAAAAGAGGTTAGAGCATTAGAATTTGTTACTGCCCATTTATTCTGGACAAATTTTAAAATTTGTTTAGTCTTTAGATTCTGGTCAGAAAACAGCTCTTAAAATAACATAACATGCTTTCAGTTCAATTCTCTATAAAGCATATTTTATGAATCTAGTTTCAAGCATATGGGTTATAGAAAACATATCCTGGATCATACATAGAAATATTATATTTACTGGGCTGGGATTTCTGAGCTATTAATCAGTTTGGTGGCCAGTTTTAACAGTTAGTCAACAATCATTTATTGATTGCACAGTATTTACTCAAGACTTAGAGATTTTTTTTTTACAAAGATAACAGCATTTGCCTAAGTATTCAATCTCTGTATTCAATCCCTAGTAGTGAAGAAAAAAAAATACATTTGTCTCTCAAAGCAATCACAATAGGCTTCAAAGAAACATAAACATAAAATATCATGAAAATGTAAGACAGGTATTTCAAAAGCCCAAAGGGTGAGCAAATTAACTATGCATAATCTTAATTTGATATGGAACTTCTTTATATTGTAAAAGAAAGACTCTTAACTATGTATTCTACATATCTGCTATAGATACGATAAACTGTACCTTTTTCTTTTGTTCTTCTGTAGCTTTAATAATCCCTGGATCTGATTTCCAAGATTTTCCAAAATTGTAGAAAAGTGCAACACTATTAGCAAGGAACGGAAGATGAATAGATAAAAAGTTGAGATGTACTTAAAGTTAAGGAATCTAAAGAAGCAATGATGAGTTATTATATAATTTTAATTCATAAGATTTTACCACAAAACATTTGTTACAACATTACAAATTTTATCAGGCACATGTGGCTCATGCCTATAATCCTAGCTACTCAGGAGGCTGAGATCTGAGGATTGAAGTTCATAGCCAAAATGAACAGGAAAGTCTATTAGACTCTTAGATAAAACTCAATTTGATTTTCAAAGCCATCATAAATAACATGGATTTATAACACTATTTACATGTCAGGTATGTGCTGAGGTCTTAAGCTCAAGAACTCGAGACAGTACTACTACTATCTCTACTTAAGAAAACAAGTGTAAATAAAGTACTTTAATACTATATTTTTATTTGAAAGATAGAACAAACAAAATGTATCTAATGTATTAAAAAATAAAATACATATCAATGTATCTTAAAGGCACAAATATATGAATTGGGTAATTTAAATAAGATTTGACTCTTCCCTTCCTTCAAAATTTAACTTTTATTCTTAATTGTCCAGCTTGGAAACTTGCATATTGTATGTTATCTCCAAACCAAACCAAACCAAATAAAAAAAGGAGAACATTCAAGCTATACTATGTGATTACTTTTTCAAACATTTTCTTTTCTATTTTTGGTTGGTCCTAGAGCTTGAACTCTGGGCCTGCGCCTGGATGCTGTCCCTCAGCTCTTCAGCTCAAGGCTAGCACTCTACCACTTGAGCCACAGTGACATTTCCCGTTTTCTGAATGGTTTATTGTAGATAAGAGTCTCACAGACTTCCCTGCCCAGGCTGGCTTTGAACTGCGCTCTTTAGATCTCAGCCTCCCAGCCTCCAGAGTATCTAGGATTACAGGCATGAGCCACTATTCATTTTTTGTAATTTGCTACTTTTCCAGTCTTACTTATATTTAACAGATTATAAATACAAGAGGGGATTTTTTTTTGGTTGTTTTGTTTTTTGTGCCAATCCTGGGGCTTGAACTTATGGCTTAGGTACTGTCTCTATGCCTCTTCTACCACTTAGGCCACAGCTCCACTTTCAACCTTTTTGAATACTTCACTGGAGAAGTCTCACAGAATTTCCTACCCTGGCTGGCTTCAAACTGCAATCCTCAAATCTCTGCCTCCTGACAGGTATTTCAAACATGAGCCACCAGCCTGCAGCTAAATACAGTAAGTTTTAGATTATTTGGGGATATGAATCTGAGGTCTTTTCCTTTAATATAAACTGAATGTCCAATTTAGCAAATACGTCTAGGATACTAAGTCATTTCAGAAGTCAATGAATTTCCAAATTTAAAATAGATAAGGTAATGAAAAATAAGCAATCTGTTTTATTCATATTATATGTGTTTGGTAAGACATAACACAAAGAACTATTTTAAAAGTGCAAAGAACTGTGCTTTTTAAAAATAATCACTTACTTAAAAATATGAGAACTTGGAAGGGGAAACAGAGGAGGAGGCAACAATGCTTGATAAGAAATGCACTCATGCCCTCCCTTCTCTTTTCCAGCTCTTTCTGCTCTTTTCTAGCTCTTTCTCAGCTCTTTCCTTCTCCTTCCCAGCTCTCTTCTCTTTCCTACCTTTCCCAGACGCTCTCTTTTCTAGCTCTTTTCTCTCTTCTAGCTCTCTTTCTCTCTCTTTCCCAGCTCTCTCTTTCCCACCTCTTCCAGCTCTCTTTCCCAGGCCTTTCCCTGCCACGTGGAGGACGAAGATGGCCTGGTGCCATCTGGAACGATGAATAAACCTACCCCTTACCTGAATACCACGTGCGTGGTGATGTTCTTACTCGGCTACCTCTTTTTAAAAACCTAACATAAATGGTGCCGTGACTTGGATAAAGGGCTTAAAGTCAGGATAGGTGGGATTCCTCTGTTTTTTTCCTCTTTTTTCTTTTTTGTTTGTTTTTCCCTTTTTGCTCTGAGGAATACACACAGTTCTGATGGCCTTTTGCGAACCCATCTGTCTGCTGCGGACACAGCGCATCGATACCATTGCTGACCTTCACATCCACGTCCACACCACTTCTCTACTCTGGTGAGTGAAACTACTCTCTACTCTGGTGAGTGAAACTACTCTCTACGGCTCTCTGTTGCTCAGTCTCTGTCCAGACGTGGCACCACGACAAAGAGCTCCTACGGCCTTTAGCTGAAAGGCCTGTCACCTCTGAAGCTGAGGACGCTTGGCTTTGGGGGCTTGGCCATTTCTCTCTAGAGGCTCTGGGAGAAGTCGGGACGCCGCTTCTGCCTGGTCAGCTCTCCTTTACTCACCAGACTGACTCTCCTACACATTTAATGGGGTGCTGAGAGTCACGCCCGTGCGGTGAAGCCCCTTTGAAATGCTTCCTGCGCTCCCTGGAAAGCCAGAGAGCCTAATTTTTATGCCATCCTCAGATGTACACAGTTTTTGCTACTGCAATGGTAAATGGTCAGAAGTCTGCTTAATTTCAGGCTCTCTTTGCTCTCTCTGCCATTCATGTCCAACTTTCTACCCTTTTCTCTACAACTTTTTGGCTTGTGCTTTGACGAGTGCCACGCAGGCTGGGTTCCGGGGACCCCCCTCTAGGTTCCCTCTCAAAGGCTGGCCAATGTAGGCTTGATCTACATTCAGGATTTCTTTGCATTTTTTTAAGAAATTCGCCATCTTGGCCATATGGTGGGTTAAGGGTTTGGCCCCATCTGACCCTTAACCTTCCACCAAGCTTACTACTCCATCCATCTATTCTAAGGAGCCTTGCTAACAAGTTGCTCTTTTCACAGGCCCTGATAACTGAGGCCCAACCATCTGATGTGCTTTGTTAGCAAAGATGTCTAAACATTGTCAAAATTTTAGGTTTTGAGTTTAGCCTTTTGTGGTTTGTGTTGTGTATTCTACTACTGACTACGTGGTTCTAAAATACTGGGCAAATCTATGCTAAAATTCTCATCACATCTAATGAGTTCTGTCATTGCAGAATATTTGTTGGTCAGTTCTTGATAAGGAGCAGGTAAGCTCTACTTATTCTACTTGATCTCCTTGTTGCTTTAATTGGAAATAATAGGGGCTTTTGTGGCAAAAATTGGGGTTCAAAGTCAGCCCGGGCCGAAAAATCCCTAAGACTCCACCTCCCAACTAACCTGCAAAGAGCCAGGCAAACTCTGCAAGTGGTACTATAACGCAAAGTGGTTCAGTGCTGGCCTTGAGCATAAGTGCTCAGGGACAATGCCCAGGCCTTGAGTTCAATCCTCCTTGAATACCAACTGGGACAAGCCATCCCAGCAATGAGCACCTAGACTCAGCCAGTCTGGGGAACAAGGGAACATGGAGAGGAGTAAGAGGAGATGATGTCACATCAGCTACTTTATGCCTGTCCTTTCAAAATTAACCAGAGCTGGGAGGTCAGTAGAAGCCTGCCCATCCAATGTCCATACCTGTCTACCTATTAACAATAGGAATTTATATTCTTGCCTTTGTCACCTGACTTCTCTACTTAGTCGCCAGATTTCAGAAGTAGCTAGGGACATTTCTACCAACATTTTCAGCCCCAAGTCCTTCCTCTTGCCATTTATTTGTTCTCAGCCCCTCAATGCTCATGAGGCTTCTCCAGACTTCATCTAAGGATTCCCGCCACCAAGGGACAGCTGCTGTTCACTGCCTTCTCTGGGAGGGGACCAAATTCCAGCCTTTTACCCTTATTGTCGATGCCCCTTGTCAGCAGGAAGTAGCCAGAGAGAATCAGTGCCCTATTTCATGATTATTAAAAGGCTGGAATGTAAAGTCTGCTCCTGGATGGCGAGCAGACTCCACCCTCCTCGCAGCAAAGTCTCCACCCAGTACCTGCGTTACCTAGGCAACTGGGACACCTGGAAGAGGTCACATCTGCATCTGCTGAGGTCACATCTGAATTTGATGTGGCCACACCTTTCTCCGCCCATACCCTAGATAAGGCCTAGCCCAGGCCCAGATGCCCTCTCCCTTCTCTTTTCTAGCTCTCTCTCTGCTCTTTTCTAGCTCTTTCTCAGCTCTTTCCTTCCTCTTTCCCGGCTCTCTTCTCTTTCCTAACTCTCTCTTTCCTACCTTTCCCTGACGTTCTCTTTTCTAGCTCTTTTCTCTCTTTTCTAGCTCTTTCTCTCTCTCTTTCCCACCTCTTTTCCAGCTCTCTCTTTCCCAGCTCTCCCAGCTCTCTTTCCCAGGCTTTTCCCCATCTCGTGGAGGGCCAAGATGTCCTGGTGCCAGCCAGAACGATGAGTAAACCTACTACTTACCTGAAAAAGAAAGAAAGGAAGAAAGAAAGAGAGAGAGACAGAGAGAAAGAAAGAAAGAAAGAGAGAGAGAGGAAGAAAGAAAGAAAGAAAGAAAGAAAGAAAGAAAGAAAGAAAGAAAGAAAGAAAGAAAGAAAGAAAGAAAGAAAGAAAGAAAGAAAGAAAGAAAGAAAGAAAGAAAGAAAGAAAGAAAGAAAGAAAGAAAGAAGGAAATGTACTCATTACCTTGCCCATGTAATTGTAACCCCTCTGTACGGTATTTTCACAATAAAAAAATTTAAAAAAATATGAGAACTCCAAGTATGGCTATGATTTCTCAACTAGAGTCTAAAAGAAAATTAAACTGCTTTCAACTAAAACACAAGGCGACTTAATAAAAAGCACATTATACTGTCAATTTGATGGCATTAGCAAATTCTTAAAGTTATGTTATTACAATCTTTTAGTGAAGCATGAGATGAAGTCTCTAGAGAATACATCTGAAGTAGAGCTGTGGCTCAAGTGGTAGGCAACAATCTTGAGTGGAAAATGCTAAGAGGAAAAAGTTAAGTGTCCAGCCTTCAGTTCAAGCTCTAATACCAGCCCTTGACTCCACCAACGCCCCCCCACCCCCGCCAAAAAAAAAGAACATTACATACCATCTGCCAAAGTAAAATAAATTGTGGTATTAGGAAAATCCACAGAAAACAAGTTTGATATTGAAACATTAAAAAAAAAATTCAGCTTGACAGAATATTTCAAAACATGTTAAAAATTAGAAATGGTTCAATCTCAGCTTTACCAGAGTATAGCTATGTAGCTTTGCACTATTTCCCTTCAATAAAATGGAGGCAATAATACTAACTTACAAAATGTGAATAAACTATTTATTATTGATAATGTGATTAAGTAATAAACAAAATTTGTTTTAAATATATTCATTATAACCAAAGGATATCATTCCAAAACCAAAAGAACCATGTCACATACATCCAGAATTTGGTTGCCAAATATATTCCAAGGGGCAATGCACTATGCATTGAATGATCAAAAAAAGACCTGTAAAACACAAATTTTATCAAATATGAGCCCTGTATTTCACTGTAAACTGAATACTTAATTAAAATTATACAAACTCTGTAGAAAGCATTAGCCTAACAAAAATACAAGATTCTGAAATTACTTTTAATTTACTAAGAATTAAAACTAAGCAGGGCACTGTGACTCACACTTGTAATTCTAACTTCTTGAGAGGCTAAGATTGGAAGGGCTATGGTTCAAAGCAAACTTAGGCAGAAAAATTTGTTAAGACTCCTTCTCAAATGAAAACTAGACACAGTGACACAATTCTGTTGTCCTAGCTTGACGATGTGAAAAACCGACAGCACACACACGTGCATACCGGCAAGCACACACACACACGCACACACACATAATTACTAGACACCCTGGCTCAGCAAGTACAAGGCTGGAGTCTAAATCTCAGTACTGCATACATACTACATGTACATATCCATGTACTGGTTGATGTTCAAGATTTCAGTGTATTCCAATTTCCTTAAGCCAATAATTCATTTTTAAGTATATAGCAACATAATCATCTACCATATTATTCAAGGATGTACCATATTTCGACAAGTAAGTATAAAATAATGCTCAACTTTTTCTCTGTTTCATCACTTCTTTTTACCTACAGGAATTCAGTTAAGGTTAGTTAGGCACATCTTTCCAAAAGAATGAATTGTCTGCTTTAGTAGAACTTCATGTTTACATTACTTAGAACTTAGGAAGAAGTATTAACTGTTATTAAACATAAATAGAATCATTGTTGATGCAGATTTAATGGTCTTGGTGAATTTCGATTCAGAATGTTAAGAGTGCCTGGAGTTAAGACATCTTGTACTTCCCTGTCCTATACGAATTATTTTGTATGTGTATGTCTTCTAAAAATGGTGGAATATACTGGCTGAAAATAAGATACTAAAGGAATAGAAATTAATCTGGAAGTTCTGGATAAGAGTCACCTTCCTAGGTTTACTGAATGGGGAAACTTTCAGAGCTTTGGGACCTATGGACAAGCAGAAAAGAAAATGATCATAATGTTTAAAGAAAAGGAAGCATTCTTGCTTCCTAACTATGGTTACTAATAATATCAAATCTTGTCTTTGGGGCTGGGAAGGTGGCTCAGTGGTAGAGCGCTTGCCTTGCATGCATGAGGCCCTGGGTTCGATTCCTCAGCACCACATAAGCAAAAAGAAAAGAAGCCGGAAGTGGCACTGTGGCTCAAGTGGTAGAACGCGAGCCTTGAGCTGAAGAGCTGAGGGACAGCGCCCAGGCCCAGAATTCAGGCCCCACGACCGGACCCCCCTCCCCCCCCCCAAAAAAATCTTGTTTTTGCTTTCTGCTTATGACCAAAGTTAATATAATACCTATAGAAAAATGAGCTCAAATATCATAATTACCTAGAAGTAAGTAGTATGTATATTAAATTTACAGTTTAATAAACTCAAGTTTACTTCTACTGAAATATTTTAAATATTTCTAAAACTGTATTTTAGCTTTAAAATTATATAACATACTTTTGTCATTAGACCTTCAGAATCATGTGATAACAATGGAAAAAATTTTGAAGATTTCACACAAAACGTACTTATAACCCAATTTATGAAATGGTAGTCCCACTGTACACCTTAATAACAATAAAACTACTTTTAAAAAAAGATTTTACACATCAACTTTTAATTTTAAATTTTAAGCAAAAATTTAAGTATTCATGCTACATAATTTTCTAAGCATATAAAACATAACTTTTACATAGCAGCATAATTATATTCTTTCAAGTATAGTTAAAAATATAGTTAAAAACAACACACTTACTTTGAAAGAAATTGTACTGTAGCCCAAACGCCACCATACATTAGCCCTTTAATGAGCCAAGAATCAATATTTAGGTCTGCTATAAACCCAACCAGCCAAATAACTAGGAAAGGAGTTCCTAGCATTACTTTCTGCCGGAATTCCTGTACAGAAACAAACAATTAGAAAGCTTTTGTATGTTTCAAGTAACCTTAATCTGAATCATGGCTATCTTTGTGAAAGCATGCAACTGAGGGTAAAACTAATTCATTTATTCATATATGCCTTTTTGCAGATAGTATTCAATATGTTGGATCTCTGGAGATATATTAAACACTTCAAAAGGACTTGGTTATGATTGTAAAAAAAAAAATGAGAAGTTATGAGTTGGGTCTACAAAGTCAGATACAGAAGATAGCAGTACTCCATGCAAACACAAAGACTAGCTAGAAGATGATTCATGACAAATACTCCATTTCAATCCAGGCATTGTTATCTATAGAGACAATGAAAATAACAGTGTATAATCCATGAACTATATCAGATAAGGAAAGCTGAGGATACTAATATGGACAAGATATTCCAAATATATTAAAAATTAAAATCAGATACAGAATAAAACCAAACAATCTATGGAGTCTCAGAGCTTGGAGATATGTACCTTTGAATACCTATCAAGGCACAGTGCTCAAAACTTTAGAGGTAGTTAGCTCCAATTCACTTTTATGCTGTTTATTAGAAAACCAATACTTAGAAGCATAAAACTTATGTTCTTCCTTGTAATACCTACCACAAGTGCACTTTCAAAACAGTACAAAGGGGCTGGGAAGGTGGCTCAGTGGTAGAACACTTGCCTTGCATGCATGAGGCCCTGGGTTCAATTCCTCAGCACCACATAAGCAAAAAGAAAAAAGCCAGAAGTGGCGCTGTGGCTCAAGTGGTAGAGCGCTAGCCTTGAGCTGAAGAGCTGAGGGACAGTGCCCAGGCCTAGAGTTCAGGCCCCATGGCCGGACCCCAAAAAAAACTAAAAAAAAACCCCAAAAAACAAAACAGTACTAACTATTCTTGTTTCTTTCTAATAAGAGCCTTTACAAACTTATCGGCTATGGAGTATCTCCTGAATTACCTTAGGTAACAAATTATGTAATTTTTAGTTGTGGTCTAACAAAGCTCAATATATGAATATTACTTCTTCAAATATCTTTCTGAGAACTAAGATTATATCACACACTTTTAGTACCTATTTTGTATTGTTGACTTCTAGTGAAATAATTTTTCATAAAAATGACCATGATTTTACCAACTAAATATATAATCTTAACTTAGTCTAATTAATTTAAATGTTAAGTTTTAAGAGTCTCCTTTTGTTACCACAATAACAAATCCATGGTGTGTGTAAGCTTATATTAGAGAAGATTTAAAACTTAGAGGAGAAAGTAGGTAACTATTGGAGAGAAGGTAGATGTGCTGCAATCTGAAACAGTATTTTCTAAAATTATTTTGAATTTAGTTTTAGTTAAGGCACTTGTTCATCATCAGCATTTATCACAATTTTTCATTTAAAAAATTAATATATAAAATATTTTATGATTTCTGGTGTGTACAATTCTTGAAGTTTTGGTTAATTAGTATTATAACCTGCATCAAAATCAAAATACTTAACAGTTATATCAAACGCAACCCCCTTCCACCCCCCAAACTTCTGGTTTTAGATCAAGAAAACTAAGAATCCAATTTCCACCCCTGTAAGATTTTCTTTGCAGGAATGTCATATAAGTGGGATATAATGAATGTAGCCTTTTAAGTTTGGTATTTGCCACTTGTCATTCAGAGAATATGCTTGACATTTATCTATGTTGCTGTGTGTCAATCATTTTCATTTTTCAGTGCTGAGTAGAATTTTATTACATGAAGCCACCCATAATCCTAGCTACTCAAGATCAGTTAGGAGTTCACTCCAAGCAACAAGTCTGAGACCCCATCTCAACCAATAAAAAATTGGGTGTGGTGACATCCCAGCTACTTGGGGATCATAAAGAGAAACAATGTAGTCCAGGCTAGGAAAAATGTAAGATCTTATTTCAAAAAACAACCAAAGCAAAAAGGAGTGGGGCAAAACACCAGTGCAAAGTCCTGAGTACAAACTCCAATATAACCACCACCACCACCCCAAAAAGAGAAAAGAAAAAAATAATTCTATTGCATATATATACCATATTTAGTCATGCCTCATATAACAGATCAGAACTGTTTCTGGTTTGGGAGACTTATCAATAAAGCCATTACAAGCATTTTCATACAGGTTTTTTCATGAAGTTGTTTATTTTATTTTCTATGCAGGACATTTAAGTCAAATTAAATCTTTCAAAAAATTTCAAACTATCATTTACTATACATAATATTATAAAGATGTATTGGTGATATGTTGCTATATACATATCAAAAATCTATTTCCTTCCATATTTTATAATGGAAATTTCCATTTCTGTAGTAATTTGAAGAATTTTATAATGAATACCTGCGTACCCATCACTTAGATTCTACAACTCAATAACCGATAGTTTTGTGTGTGTGTGTGTGTGTGTGTGTGTGTGTGTGTGTGTGTCAGTCCTGGGGATTTGAACCCAAGACCTAAGTGCTATCCCTGAGTTATTTTTGCTCAAGGCTAATGTTCTACCATTTGAACCACAACTCTACTTCTGACTTTTTGGTGGTTAACTGGAGAAAAGAGTCTTATGAGCTTTCTAGCAAAGAGTGGCTTCAAACTGTGATCCTTAGATCTCAGCATCCTGAGTAGCTAGGATTACAGGTGTGATCCACTGGTACCCAACTCAGTAACCTAATTCTACCTTTCATTTGAAATATGGATCCACACAAAATTATAATAAATTATATAAACATATTACCTGGAATGTGTTTATAGATTCCAAGTAATCTATATCCAACTCTTGTTGTAATTAGGTATGCCATCACAACCAGACTATTAGCCTTGATACAGTCAAGATACAGAATATTCAATCACTAAAAATAGTTTCTAGTACCTCTTTTACCTGGAAATCACTAAAGTGTAAGCTTTCCATTTCTGTAATTCAAGAATGTTACATAAATGAAACCATGGGCTGGGAAGGTGGTTCAGTGGTAAAGTGCTTGCCTTGCATGCATGAGGCCCTGGGTTCGATTCCTCAGCACCACATAAGCAAAAAGAAAAAAAAGCCGGAAGTGGCGCTGTGGCTCAGGTGGCAGAGCGCTAGCCTTGAGCTAAAGAGCTGAGGGATAGTGCCCAGGCCCAGAGTTCAGGCCCCACGACCGGACCCAAAAACAAACAAACAAAAAAAACATAAATGAAACCATATCATATGTAACCTATGATACTGGCTTTTTCATGTATACAATTATGCTCCAATATTCATCCAAATTACTACATTCTGTAGTTGTCTGTAACTTGGGGCTATAACTATGTTATAAGTGTTAGTGTACAAGTTTTTGTGTGAAGGTGTTTTAAATTTTCCTGGAATGAATAGCAATTATGTTTAGTTTTCTCTTGTTGTTTTAGAAACTGCCAAACTGTTTACTCTTTCACATTCCCATGGACAAAGTCTGAGTCCTTTATACAGACTCTGGATCCTCACTGATGTTCATTGTTGCTAACTTATAATTCGTAGTCATCCTGACATGTAAACCACTAGGATTTTAATTTGTATTCACTTACTCCCTAATGATATTGAATATCTGTCTTTATCTGCCATCTGCATACTTTCCTTAGCAAAATATGTTTTCTTTAGCCCATTTTAAAATTAGATTATTTGTTCTTTTTATTGTTGTTTTGAGAGTTCTTTATATACCTTGGATATATAAAGATATATCATTTGTTGGACACATGTCCTGCCAATATTATTTCCCCATCACTAGCAATTTTTTTTTGGTGAGTATGAGTGTAACTAGGAACTAAATACAGGCCCTTGTGCTTGCTAAGCAAGTGTTCTACCACTTTAATGAGCCTAGTCATGCAGCTGTTTTATTTTGCTTGTTTTTGTTTCCCGTAGTAATTAAGGCTCAAACACTTGACAGGCAAGTGCTCTATAGCACTGAACTGTATCAATAACTCTTGGTGTTTTGAGATAGGGTCTTAAGATACTATTCAGGCTAGTTTGATCTCCCTATGTAGTCCAGACTGGCCTTGAACACTAGGTTCTTCCAAGTACTGGGATTACAGATATGTGCTACCCACTTAGCTTGTAGGTTGTCTATTTTTTTAAAAAGGCAGAGTGAGTAGATTTCACTTATTTAGTGAGATTGGTATTTGAATTCCTGATTGGTGGTAGGCAGCCTCTTCTAACACTCTTAATAGGGTCTTCAAAAGAGAAAAAAGTTTTAAATTTCCATTAAGGCTAGTTTATTATTATTGCTTTTCTTTTATGGATTGTGCTATAAAATTTAACTTTACACATTAATACAACATCTAGAATTTAAAAGTAATTTTGATCTGACTATGCATATTAAAGTACAAGTCCAGAATACTTATGTTCAAAAAGGAAATATAAAAGTTATGCCATGTGATTTTTTTGTTGCTCTGTATGTCCCTCCCCCATGGTATATCCCCTGTTTTCACTGTATTTGATGTTGGTATAATTTGGGGAGGGGAAGGGAAAAACAAAATGTTTAAATAGGGATACAGGTTGATCCATTGTAACAATGAAATATATAAGACACTAGGTTGAAAAATAAATTTTACAGTTTAGGAGGGGGAACTGAACATGGTAGGGGAAACAAAGGAGGAGGCAACAATGCTTGATAAGAAATGTGCTCATTGCATTGCTCATGTAACTGTAACCCCTCTGTACAAGTATTTTCACAATAAAAAACTTATTAAAAAATTATGGGATTTTCCAGCGTAACATTCTCATTTCTAGCTTACTTATAAGACATTTGCCATTTTTTTACTCTGTTTAAAATACTGCTCTAAAGTTTGGATGACAGAACAAAATAAAAATAATTTGCTCTGTCATTTCTAATATTAACTAAACAGATTATACAGCATTCAAGAACTATTCATTATTCTCAGGCTTTGAAAGCAGGGCAAGTTCATTAACTATCAACTCCAATCAGTCAACTTTTCTTTTAGTAGAAATATTTTAAGGAAGCTAGATTCTGCTCTTTGAGAAATTTTTTTTTTTTTGGTCCAGTCGTGGGGCCTGAACTCTGGGCCTGGGCGCTGTCCCTTAGCTCTTCAGCTCAAGGCTAGCGCTCTACCACTTGAGCCACAGCACCACTTCAGGCTTTTTTCTTTTTGCTTATGTGGTGCTGAGGAATCGAACCCAGGGCCTCGTGCATGCAAAGCAAGCGCTCTACCACTGAGCCACCTTCCCAGCCCATCTTTGAGAAATGTTTTTAAGTTTTGAATTTACATTACTATATTTAGGCAGGTGAGCCAATATCAATACAGTATAACCTAAAGTTATGTGGAAAACCTAAAAAAGACTGTCCATAGTCAAAACTAGTTTTTCTCTCTAAAAAATTGATAGCATGTCACAAGACTATGGAAAACTCCTCAATTGGAGCTACAGTTGTTAGTTCCAAAATGGATATATATATTAGGACTGCAATAGTTCACACAATTTACTACACTAAAAAATAAACATATACAGGGACAACCTTTATTTTTATTTTATTACTTTATCCATCTATTTAGAGTATTTATTTTGTAGCACTAGGGGCTGAACTTAGGACTTGGTGCTTGTTAGGTCAGTTTTCTACCACATGAGCTACTTATTCCTTAGGCTTTTTTTTTTTTTTTTTGCTTCTTATAGTTAAGCCTCACATGTTTTGCATAAGCCAGCCTGAACCAACCTAGTTCCTCTGATTTATGCTTTGTATGTAGCAGGTTAACAAGTAGCACATCCAACTATTAGGTGAGATGGGAGTCTTGCTAACTTCTTGATCAGGCTAGCCTCAAACCACAATCATCCTGGTCACCTCCCAAGTAGCTAGGATTACTTACATGTGTGAGCCACTGTGCCTAGCTGACAACCATTATTTTTATGATTATTTAACAAAAGCCAGGTGAGTCAGTAAACTAAAACTTAAGTTAGTAACCTGTAGAGATATAATTTTATACATTTTTATCCTTCTTAATTATGAAATAATTCAAATAGACCACAAGCCAAAAAACCTCAGAAAAATTATTTACCCTGACTTTATTCTGGTTGAAACAGTATTTTAAAAATTATGCTGGGAAATCTCAAAATTGAAGTCTGTGACTATAAATGCTAGAAAATATGGTTATGAATCTTACTTGAAAGGTTATAGACTGAAAATCTTTAGTCGTAAGTTTACCTTATCGGCTTTTAGCTTTCTGAGGAAAGATGGATTGTCATATCCTTTTGCTTGCCTTGCCTCTTGCAAATGGTTGATCATCCACACATTTTTTCTCTGCTTTGCCAAATCAAGTGCTGATTCACCCTGATAATATAAACAGACAAAATTCACATTAAAAATAACTATTTTAGTAACTTGAGTAATTAAGAACTTCCATAAAAATAAGCTGACCATATTAATTCATTAACATTATTTTGACATTGAGTAAAGTCAATGTATAGAATCTAAATGAAAACCTTCATTACCATTTCCCAGCCAAAATATAATACAAAATGTATTTTTTCAACTGACTTTGTAGTTATATCTTTCCTAGCATTTTGACATCTTTAAGAGCAAATCAAAAAGTAGGTATTTTAGCACCTGCTGGATCAGAGGCTATTACTAAGTTTATGAGTTATATTCTTTACAGATTTCAGAAGTAATACCTACTGCTGAAAACCACCCTGCAATAAATCAACTTGTAAAAAGTATCTCTCAGCCTTATTTTGGTGATGAGAAAAGCCTTAAGAAGAGAATATGGAAGAAAAAGAGTCAGTTCCTATTAATCTACTAACATTCTTGACATACCTTAATTTCATTCACTTATACAGAAATTTCCAAAGAGAACAAAATAGTAGTTTAGTTCAAGTGAGAAATTAAAAAGTCCCTTAACACCAAGAAAAGAACACCACTGAGTATAATAGATCTAATACATATCAAAGTAAGAAATAACAAGTAAATATTTCAAACCCTATACATATGCTTCATTTTGCTTTTACTAATTTAAAATCATGATTTCTCCTTTTGCAAATTGGTCATACCTACAGTTTAAGTCTAATATTTAGTGTCCTCCATTATTTATCTACTTCTTTAACTAGGAAATTAAAATTGTTTGCTTAATTTTGAAGAATGTTAGATGATATTCAAATTACTTTAAAATTTAAAATTTTATTTCAAAATACTGGTTAAAAAGAATACAAGATTAAGAGATCTTAAGATATCTTATTTATGAGGGATGATTACTTATCAAATATGGAGTAAAGTTTATTTTTAAAAAAACACAAAAAAATGAAATAAAACATAACCACTACCACCAATGGCAACAGCTATTACAAAAGTAACAACAAAAGCTCAACCAATCTTTTAATTAAGGAACTAATAATGTTTAATAAAGAATGGGCTAATCTAACTGAATCTTCTAAAAATAGGGATATTTATTTTCCATATTTCCTTGCTTATTCCAGAATTCCATCACCTAAATTGTCAGAACCAGCTAAATTAATCCAAACTATAAATATTACCTGAATAATAGCAATCCCTTGGGTAACAACTCCCAGAGAATATCCTGCAGTTGCCTCGGTCCAGCTGAGCATCCCTTCCACTAGAGGGCCATGTGACACCTAAGGATAGCCTAGACAAAAAGATTGAGGGAGCTTTAAAAAATCTTTCAACTACTCCTCTAGTCATCTGACTGTTTGTTTGTTTTTAATACTTCTTTTATTCAGCTGGTAAAATAAACAAGCAGTTAACTTAAAGAATTATAGTAAAACCGGGATTCTGATTCAAGTCTATATTTGATCACTCCATGTCCTAGTCAAAGAAAGTAGTAACAGTAACATCAGTAAGAATCCACATGGAGTATTTACAGACTATGTTACTGGTAAAATAAATTCTTCAAGGGTTTTGATCAGATCAACATCATAACTATGATGAAATATTATCTAAAATTTTGCCTGAGATTGAATTTTATTGTCAAAACTAAGGAAAACTGATTAGAGACCATCTAGGTCAGGTATTTGAGAGGTAATAAAAAACTACTTTGTGAAATATTTCTTACCTCCTTTCAAGAAACCAAGAGATCTTTCAATATACTAGCAGAGCTCCATAATTTGTATTCTACACAAGCCAAAATTTATGTCCTTTTGATAATTTTGGGGGGGGGGGGGGGGAAAGCTTGGGAAAGCCCTGGATTAACTGTTTTCCCCAAACTCAATTCATCTAAATTTACCTCATTTAACCAAAATCATATGGTATAGAATAAAACATTATCTTCTAGAAATTCACACGTGAGATATCACAAGAAGTCTATAAAGCAAAGTCTATAATTTTTTCTTTGTATGTCAAATCAGTTGTCCCCCTATTGTTGTTACTGAACACGACTCAAATTTGTATGTTAACTATTATCTAGGACCATGGTTCATATATTCTATTGAGTTGTATCTGTTGAAAGCCACTAGGCCTGACTGCAGAAAAATGCAAGGTATCCATGGGCTCACCCCATCCAAAGTCAGAATCAAGAGTGACAATCTCCAACTAGGGTTTTTAGCTATTCCTGATCCTCTCCCAAGGATTCCAACAGCTATCTTGTATCGACTATCATTTTAATATTAATTGTCTTCAAAATTGGTTACATTTTATTTTGATTAAAGACTCATTCATTTAATACAAAAATGGAATTCCTTATACAGAAACTAATTTGCAGGGGTAAATCTCTAGTTAATATAAAGAAAGATTTCTAAGAAACTTAAAAATCTTATGAAGAAAATTTCATTTTAGCCAAGTGTCAGTGGTTCATGCCTATAATCCTAGCTACTTGGGTGACTAACATCTGAGGATCATGGTTCAAAGCCAGCCTGGGCAGGAAAGTCTGTGAAACTCATCTCCAATTAAACACCAAAAAAAGCCAAAAATGGAGCTGTAGTTCAAGTGGTAGAGCACTAGTCTAGATCATAAAAGCTTAGGGACAGTGTCTGGCTCCAAGCCCTAGGACTGGTACATACACAAAAAAATCATTTTAGAAGAAAAAGAAGCTAAGCACCTGTGGCTCATGACTGTAATCCTAGCTACTCAGTTTGACCAATATAACATTCTGTAGCTCCTGCAATCAAATCCAGATTTGTAGCCTAGATTGTACATTTGGTTTGGGGGGGTTGTTTGTTTTGTTTTTTAAATGCTGGCACTAGGGCTTGAACTCAGGGCCTCAAGCTGTGGCTCAGCTTGCTTGCTTGCTCATGGTTTGCTCTTTACAATTTGAGCCATGCTTGCCTTCAATACAGCATTTGCTGGTTAATTGGAGTTGGGAATCCTGAGGACTTTTCTGCCAAGGCTGGCTTTGAAACTGCTTCCTGCAGGTCTCAGCCACTGACTAGCTGGGATTATATGCCTGAGCCACCAATGCCAACTCTATTTTACCATTTTATATGACAATAAAGTTCTTTCCTAACTCTTAAAGTTTAAAAAATATAATGTTTTAAAATGAAAATTTGAAAAATTGTAAGTACAGGTACACTTTGTCAATTTTCTCAAGAAAATAAAAGTTTTTAAAATAAAACTGTTTCCTTTCAAAATCTGCTGTAATCTTTCATTAATTTAATACAATGTAGGTTTAAAAAACACCACTTCAAATTAAATTTTATCAAAACAAATCATCCTTATCAACCTATCATCCTTATTCCCATATATTTCTCCTTCAGTCTTCATAACCTCAGCATATATCAAGACAATCAATAAAAATTAAACCTACATCATCAGTGGTACTTTCTTTTATACCCAAATAAAATCTATCTTTTCATTTCTACTCTAAAATACATCCAAATCCATTCATTTTTATCTCTACTCTTGAATCCTAGGGCAAACTAACACATCACTTGCCTAATTAAATAGAAAAGCCTGATTGTTCAACATTCCAATTTTCTTAATTATCCAATGCATTCTTCATTATAACAAAATAGTATTTTTGAAGTATCTGTCTTTTCAAACAAAAATCATACCACACAGCCATCCTATGTAAGTATATCCCATCACTTGAAAGTAAAATTAAAGCTCTTATTGTGGGATTGCCTGACCTACTTGCTTCAACTGACTTACCTCCTTGCTCACTATACCCTGGCTAAGCTGTACTTATTTCTACTTTTCACATGGCAACCATATCGCACTTAGAAGCCTACCCCTGCTTACACTTGATTCTCTACATGCAATTTTTTACATGTAAGTTTCAAAGCACTATTCTTAATTTTCTTTTCTTTTTTGGGGGGGTCCGGTCGTGGGGCCTGAACTCTGGGCCTGGGCGCTGTCCCTCAGCTCTTCAGCTCAAGGCTAGCGCTCTACCACTTGAGCCACAGCGCCACTTCCGGCTTTTTTCTTTTTGCTTATGTGGTGCTGAGGAATCGAACCCAGGGCCTCAGGCATGCAAGGCAAGCGCTCTACCACTGAGCCTCCTTCCCAGCCCCTATTCTTAATTTTCAAAACAAATGTCACTTCCTCAGAGGTATTCTCAAATCATGCTCACTTCCTCTGGCCCTCAGCCCTGTCATTCAATCATCTAGTTTTAAAAAAGTTACTTGTCTATTTCTTCAACAGACTGACTGTAAGTTCTGAGAGAAAAAGGCCCTTACCTGCCTTGAACATTGTCATTACTCACAATAAACAGTGTTTGTAGGATGAAGAAAAATACGGCTTTTCTGTGAATAATGGAAATGCTCGATTTCAGGAGAAAAAGTATCTGATACTTATTTCATCCTTCTAATTACATAAAAAGTTATTTTAAAACAGAAAACTACTTATCAGCAAAGCAGATGAAAGATAATTTTCCCAAGAAAGTACACATATTGCATGAGGAAGTACTTCCCTGGAATTCCTTTTCTTTGGAGGTCAACTCACTCCAGAAACTATCAGAGAATTACATAAAAAAAAAAATCTGTGGGTGGATGGCTCAAGTGGTAGAGCACCTGCCTAGTAAGTCCAACACCCTGGGTTCAATCCCCAGTACTACAAAAAAAGGGGGGTAACTGGGGGAGGGCATCCTACCCTTCCTTTGAAGCATCCTGAGATCTAACTTTCAAAATAAAAATGTATAAAAAAAATAACATTTTCTGTTAATAGCCAAACCTAAATATATATGAGATAATTAACAATGAAAAGAAATGTGGGCATGAAAAAGAGTCATGAATTAAAATAAAAGATGTATAAGCACAATATGATTTCAATTACTGGACACAGTAGACCCCACAAGGTATTCTGGTCTTGGTACCATATAAATAATGTGTCTAAACCTAAAAGACATTTTTTTAAACAGGCACAAAAGCACTTAAATAATTCAAGTATTTTATTTTTACCATTATCTTTCAGTTGAAATTAATTATGGATTAACTCTTTTACTAACATTAAAAACCAATACAATTGGGGCTGAGAAGGTGGCTCAGTGGTAGAGTGCTTGCCTCACATGCATGAGACCATGGGTTCAATTCCTCAGCACCACATAGGCAGAAAAATGCCAGAAGTGGCACTATGGCTCAAGTGGCAGAGCGCTAGCCTTGAGCTGAAGAGCTGAGGGACAGCGTCCAGGCCCAGAGTTCAGCCCCTACAACTGACAAAATAAAAGTATATATATATGTGTCTGTATATATATATATGAATACACATATACATATATATATATATGAATACACATATACATATAAATACATATATACATATACACACACACACACACACACACACACACATATTACTCATTTCAAATCACAGAACTCTATTACTGCCATAATTCTTGGTATTCCCTTCATTTTTATATATTGATATGACTATTGACAGAAAGTATACAGAGACTATTTTCCATACTGATAATATGAGTTCTTTTTCCATTTCTTTTGTCTCAGCAAGGCAACATTTACTTCTATACAGAAGAGCACACCACTGGCAAGCTAGCATAAGATTGGCTATTTTTTTTAAAATAATGTAACAACAAATACACTGAAATATATTCATGATACATGATCATCTTAGGAATGTCCATCTGGCAGCAAAGGAAAAGAAAGTAACACTAGAAAGCAATTTAGATACTGGAACATGATAAATCTCACTAAATATTTCTTATGGGAATACTTGTCAGGTTACTCAAACTTCTTCCTTTTTTATTCTTTGGCCTGGGGTCAGCCTAATTTACTAATCCAGTGTTACAAAGTAATTCAAAACCTACTATATATATAAAACAAACATCGTTCTAATATATAAAGAGGCAGAAAAGTAGACTGGCAGAGTCATGACAGCCAGCTTAGGTAAAATGAAAGACTATGCAGAAGTCTTCATTTAGACAATAAACAGAGTGCCCATCATGCGCCAGGCACTATGCTATACTGACTTTTCTTTTCTTGTATTCAACAGTAGATACTGGGCCATTCTGAGCACTTTGGGTAGGATACGAGGACTTGAAGTTTTAAAAAGAAAATATATGATTTTTATTAATTTCTAAGTTCCCAATATTCACTTTTTTAAGTACAAATGATATTTATAACTAGCTTCATTCTAAAAATTGGTTATACTATAAATAAAGAATCAAATTCTAGGTCTAGGTTATTTCATTTTATACCTTAACCTTCTCTTCTTAAAGAAACCAAATTGAAGAATTACTCATTGGAACATTAAGAAATGCCCTGATCCAGCAAGAGATACCTACTTTTTGATTGGCCATTTCAGACTAATTTGTGGCTTTAATTACTTCATGCTAGCACATATTCTTTAGACATTTATGAAACATGGCTCCCAAAATACTATGAATTCCAACCAAAAATTTAAAAACATTACTCAATAGACACAATTTTATCTTATACTAATATTTAACGTCATTTCAGAGATGTAGAGTCTGTTGTCATAAGACATATGGATTCTCATTATGTATTCATAAAAAGTGTACATATTTTTAAAGACCCAGAGATTACGTATTAATTACGCATTTCTCTTAGATAATTTATTATACTTATCCTGGGTTAGGTCATCATTTGGGTAGGGTGGGGGGGTTTCTCTTAGAAACATCATAAGGGTATTTATCAAATATAAAGTCTTAATTGTTAAAAAAATAAGACAATATAAAATGGCCAAGTTAAAATTATTGCTAAAATATAAGTTATGTGATTTAGTTACAAATTATTATATTTTTTGTAATGATCTTCTAGAAAAATTAGAAACCTATTTTACTTCATCAACAAAAAATACAAATACATAATTTCTAAAATCTCATATGAATTCATTAATGAAACAGCCACTGACAAATATTACTAAAATACTGTAAGAATAGCAAGTGATTCAATTTTTCAACAACTACTACATGAAAGAAAAGAGTAGCACTAAATCGGTTTCCCAACTTTCACAGTTTTTAAAAAAAAACTGTTTTATTGAGGAATTGATGCATTAGCCACAAGGATCATCAATATAGGGTATTTTTACCTTTATATTCTGGGCATCAACATTAGCTCCAGCTTCCAGAAGAAGACTAATGACTGTTGTATTCCCTGCTAGTACTGCCCAGTGCAGAGCAGTGTTTTTGTGATACTTGTCACCAAGGTTAACTGAAACATTGAATGTTAAAAGCAATCTAGTTGGATCCACACTGAAAGGAAAAAAAAACAAACAAACAACAGACAACAACCCTAATTTCAATTATCAAAATCATTACAAATACTAATGTGATTGTGGGTGCATTCTCATTTCATCTTGGAACACTTTCAGTCTAATCTACTCAAACAGTAATGAGACAATTTTCTAATATGAAATATTAAGAATGCATGACCCCCAAATCAAGTAATATGGTTCCAAGGGATAGCATTGCTACTGACATTTTTTTTACTTTTAATTTAAAAATTGATGTCATGAATACTTAGTTAAAGAATTTAAAGTTTTTAATTTTAATTTGGACTACTCCAAAAATGATTTAAGACAATTTACAAATGTATTAAATTTGCCAATTTGTAAATCACATAAAAATTACTTTTTAAAAGAAGATAATCTCTTCTCCATTCTTAGAAATTATTTAAAGAGGAATAGATTAAAGAAGCTATAATTACTGAAGTACAGGTAAACATAGACACCGAACCATCCAAAGTGGTAATTTCTTATATATAATATTCATCATAAAACTTGCAAGTATTAGTAAGTTTAACATTTACTGCTTTCTCTAATCATTGTTTTACAATGTATTATGCTGGAATGATCTGAGTATTTTATAATGGTTACATACCTATGTGTTCTATAAGCTGCCCACATTAAAGGTGTCATTCCATTCTGATCCATCATATCTACATCCTGATAGAGTAAAGTCAAACAGTAAGATTTTAAGATCCTAACCCAAATTATTTGGAAGCATCTAATTTATATATCATAGGAGAAGCTAATATAATACTACTCAATCAAGGATGATTTATAAAACTTCCTCTTCCTTAACTTTAAAACAAAAAAAGTATTGCCACTGCATACTCGAATTAATTTACATATTATTATATTTTATAGTTGCCCTTTTCAAGATGCAGTATTTTACATTTAAAGGTCTTTACCTATTCTGATCCTTCAGCCACAAAGGGAAGGTTAAGCAATTTAAGGTTAAGCTTGTTTATACGAATGTGAACTGGAGAAATAAAAACCCTATATATTCATAGCCATTTCCAAACAAAAAGACCCCACCTTTTTAACTGACTCAGAACTGTTTACTGTATTCTTCTCGTGTTTGGTATTTTATTGCTACACCTGTACATTTTTCAGTTAAATAATTCCATAAAGTTTGTAAAAAAAAAAGTAATCCTCTGCTTTACATTCCACAATTTTCTACTTTTTCTTAGCTCATTATTTCAAAAAAATAAAATCTTTAAAGATCTTTAAATGACTACTTCTTGATTTTTCAATATTAAGTGTTATTTTTCTGTTCAGTGTACTAAGTAAGAACTTCTCAGAAGTATGGGTGCAACTCAGCAGTAGAGAACCTGCTTGGCAAGATGTGATTCAGTTCACACAACAGTACTGCTGGGCATGGGTGGCTTACATCTGTAATCCTAGCTATTCAGGAGGCTGAGATCTGAGGATCACGATTCAAAGCCAGCCTGGGCAGGAAAGTCCATGAGACTTATCTCCAATTAATCACCAAAAGGCTGTGGCTCAAGAGGAGTTGTGGCTCAAATGGTAGTATGTAATGCTGAGCAAAAAACTCAGGGACTGCACCCAATCCTGATAACATTCCTATCTATAGTTTAGTCTATGCTTAGGGAGAGAAAAGACTTTAGGATGAGGCAAATATAATACAGAGTTTCTATCCTCCATTTCATCACTATGAGACTGTGGAGAAATTAACTCTGAGCCTCAGGTTTTCCATCAAAAATATGAACACAAATGATTTCCTAAGGGTCCTGCTATGATTAAATAGAATAATGTGCTAAGTTTGGTGATATATACATCTTAATCCCAGCACTCAAGAAACTAAGGTAGGAGCAACAAGGTTAAAAAAAAGAAACATAAAAGTGGCACTGTGACTCAAGTAGTAAAGTACTTACCTTGAGCTGAAACAGCTCAAGCTGGGACAGCACCCAGAGTTCAAGCCCCACGACCAACCAAAAAATGTACTCATTTTATAATCTTAGAACATTTAAGACATTCATTAAATATTACTTTTCTTCTGCTTCTCTTCCCATCTCCTATACGGCAGTTTAAATCAAAGATGTATTACTTATCAATTAGTGGAAAGATAACATAGATAGTTCACTTTAAAACACTGCATGCCTTCATGCAGCAGTTCTCTGAAACACCATTACTTAAAAATGTCTCAAATGTGCACATTACTCAAGTGAACTAAAGAAAAAAGAAATTGAGACACTGCATTAGAAAATGAATGTTTCCTCTGATGTCATTATTCTTCACCATGAATACTGCAATAAACATGTTCTCTAGCTTATGCAGAAATATAAGGAATAATATATTAGTTTAACAGTGTCACCAAGAGTATCTTCTACAGCCTCATTCAACAGTTCCAATACACTAGCTGATTGTTCTTTTATGTTCATATAAACTTAAAAAGTATTTTCTGAAGAAACAACCAACTTGCCTGTTACTTATATAAAATATATTTTATTCCTAATACATTAATTTCAAGAAAGCTCAGTCAAATTTGATGGCTCAAAGCACTTTTGTTCTTAAAGTACTTTCTTTTCTTTGCAGGGCTGGAGATGAATGAAATCAGGACTTCATTCATACACGCCAACTAACTGTTCTATCTACTATTGAACTACATACAACCCTAGGCCTTAAACTTGCAAATTCTTGTGTTTCAGTTTCTTCTTCTTAATTACAAATCTTTCTATATCCTTTTCAAAAAGTAAAGGCACTTAAAATATCAACAGAAAACAAAACCTCTTAAAATGGTATAAAAAGACAGACAGTGATGAGAGAAAGTGGTGAGTAGACTGAATATACTGTACACATGTGTGAAAACATCAATGAAATTCCCCCTTGGTTAGCTAATGTATGCTAATTTAAAGATCTGCCTGTTCCATATCTTAGCTATGGTAAATAATGCTGCAATAACCATAGTTGTGCTGGTAGCTTTAGTATGGTCTTGTTTGTGATCATTTGGGTAAATGCCCAAAAGTGGGATTTGCTTGGTCATAGGGGAGGGAGCTCTATGTGGAGTCTTTTGAGGAACCTCCATACTGCTTTCCAAAGTGGTTGAACAAGTTTACACTCCCACCAACAATGCAGTAAGGTTCCCTTCTGGCCACATCCCCTCTAGCATCTGTTGTTATTAGAGTTCTTGACTATAGCCATTCTAACTAGAGTGAGGTGGTATCTCACTGTTGTTTTGATTTGCATTTCTTTTATGGCTAGGGAGGTTGAGCATTTCTTCATGTGTCTATTGGCCATCCTTCTTTCCTCTTCAGAGAAATTCCTCTGTAGTCTTTAGCCCCCTTATTTATTGGGCAGTTGTTTCTTTGAGGATTTGTTGTTGGGGGATTTAATTTTTTGAGTTCCAGGTATATTTTAGATATGAGACCCTTGTCCGTTGTATAGCTAGTTCTTCGCCCAATCGGTGGGCTTTCTATTGATCTTGCTAGCTATGTCCTTTGTCATGCAGAAGCTCTGAAATTTCATGCAATCCCATTTGTCCAATCTTTCTTTGATATGTTGTGTTTCTGGGTCTCTATTAAGAAAATTTTGGCCTGTGCCAAGGAGACCTAGGGTTTCTCCTATTCCATCTTGTAATGTTTTGAGAGTGTCTGCTTTGACTTCGAGGTCTTTGATCCATTTGGAGTTGATTCTGGTGCTGGGTGATATAAGGATCCAGCTTTAGTTTTCTACAAGTGATTAACCTTCAGTAGATAAATGGATCAAGAAAATGTGGTATATATACACAATGGAATTCTATGCCTCCATCAGAAAGAATGACATTGCCCCAGTTGTTAGGAAATGGAAAGACTTGGAAAAAATTATATTAAGTGAAGTAAGCCAGGCCCAAAGAAATATAGGTCCCATGGTTTCCCTTATTTGCAATAACTAGTATATGTCTGAGACAAAGAAACACTGTCAGACAAGTTGATGTTAGGCAAAAAGATTCAAATGTTTTTTTCTTTCTTGCAATTGTTTCCAACATATTTATAAAATGATTTCTTTGCTGCTTTGTACCTCCCCCATGGTATATGCCCTGCTTTCACTGTATTTGATATTGATATAATTTATGGAGGGGAAGGGAAAAAACAAACTGTTTAAATAGGGATAGAGGTGGACCCATTACAACAATGAGATGTACAAGACATTATGTCGAAAAACGACCTTTACAATTTTGGCAGGGTGAGGGGGGTGAGGGAGGGGGAGGTGGGATGGGGGGGTGGAGATGGGAAGGGATGGTATGGGGAAACAAAGGAGGAGGCAACAATGCTTGATAAGAAATGTACTCACTATCTTGCCCATGTAATTGTAACCCTCTGTATGGTATTTTCACACTAAAAAAAAAAAAAAAGATCTGCCGGGCACCGGTGGCTCACACCTGTAATCCTAGCTATTCAGGAGGCTGAGATCTGAAGATCACGGTTCAAAGCCAGCGAGGGCAGGAACATCCGTGAGACTCTTATCTCCAATAAACCACTAGAAAACCAGAAGTGGCGCTGAGGCTCAAGTGGTACAGCACTCGCCTTAAGATTAAGAGCACAGGGACAGCACCCAGGCCCAGAGTTCAAGCCCCACGACCGACAAAAAAAAAAAAAAAAAGAAAGAAAGAAAAAGAAATATAAAATTGTAACATCTGTAGAGTAGTACAAAAAAATGAAACTTTCAGGGTGCCAGTGGTTCATGCCTATAATCCTAACTACTCAGGAGATCTGAGGATCACGGTTCAAAGTCAGAAGTGGCGCTGTGGCTCAAACAGTAGAGTGCTCGACTTGAGCTGAAGAGCTGAGGGATAGCGCCCAAGCCGAGTCCAAGCCCCACGACTGACAAAAAAAACAAAACTCTATCTATTCCATCTTTGTGTTTGGAGCTTAAAATTTTGCATTTTCCCCCAAGTTCAGACTGGATATATGTGTATTTTTCATTAGGAAGAATTAATAAGCTCAGATCAAAAGCACTATGGGAAATCCATGATCAAGAGAGTTCTATACTTAACATTTCTCTTTCACCTGAAAACTATCCAGAATAATTGGTAGTAAGCTCTGAATATATATGTAACTTAAATGAGATAATGTAACAAAGTGCCAAAACTGAGTGGAAATGTTATATACCCTAAAAATAGAAATGGGTACCTGTAACCAAACCATGAATTAAAAAGGGTGGGGGGGAAGAAATGCTATATGAATAGCTATGAGTCAAAGGGTATTATCTAAAGCTGAAAAACCAAGATATAAATGTAATTACATATATCACAAATTAACATTAAGAAAAATAATGCTAACTAGTCAGTGATGGAAAATAATTAAAAACACTAATCTTACTTGTTACTTATAATAAAGAAATGGAACTTATAAACAGAGAAAGGAAGAGGAGAGTGTAACTATAGTAGGAGGAAAGAATATCCTAGGTAGAACAGCACATACAAGAAGGCCCTTAGACAATAGCAAGTCAGAGTTGCTTCAGGAATCAAAAGAAAAAGCACTATGGTTGAAGCAGAGTGATGAAAAAGGATGACAGTAGGAGAACTTAAAAGATCTCCATTGGCTACACCTACCAACTACTCCATAAGACAGAGAAGAATTTTGACCCCATTTCAATATAACACACATTATTAGAGTGTCTCTGACAAAGTGCCAGTGTACACATAGAAATACATATATTAAACTGCCAAAGTAAGTGATTTCAGTATGGGGTAGACAAAGGGAGAAGAGGGATTTAATTTGTTATATCATACTCTTCTATTAAACCTACATGTTTTATAATAGGCATGTTGTTTTTGTATGTAGAAGAAAAATTACTCATTGGAAAAAAACTATTTGGCAGACACATCATTATCATAATGTATTTTTTATACAAAAAGTACTATATGTGGAAATTCTTCCCTTTGGTATTTTTATAGCCTGCTAATAATCACCCAAACTCTGAAAATCCATTGTTTTAAAAAAAAAAGACTATGAAGATCCAAAAATATTTCTTTCCCAATTAAAATATGAAAAAACTGAATATGTATCGTAAAATTTTCAACCCTTGTTCTAAAAATAAAAACAAAAAAACTGTAAGAGAATAGGGATAACTACCATCATCTATGGTAGATTATCTCAGTAGACCTCACCTAGTGTTTTCATCCTTCTGTTGACCCTTCTTTACCCTGAATAGTAGCTGGACCTGTGCCACCTGTGTGTCAGTTGCTAAGACTTAAATAGGTATAGAACAAGTTATACCTTTATTCAATGAGGCAGCAAGTAAAAAGTCTAGTTCCCAGTTCAAGACTACCTGGAGTAGTCTAACTGCATTACGGTATTCCAGTGCATGGATAAAGACTGAGGCATAGTAGTCCTAGCAGCTCAGCTAAGAACAGTCTTCTAACCATTTCTGTCAGTACAGTTTTCTTGTCATTTCTTTTAACACACATAAAAGAGAGAACCCTTCAGCCCAGTCAAGCCCTCAGATGACTATAACCCTCACCCATTATTAACAAGGAAAAGAACCACCCACCCAAGCCCAAAGATATTATATTTTACAAAGAAATGTAAAATATTATGAATGCTTGGTGCTGTTTTTAATCATCAGATTGTCCTTTGTTGTTGGTGTTTTGTTTTGTTTTGTGTCGGTCGTGGGACCTGAACTCTGGGCCTGGACGCTGCCCCTGCCCCTCAGCTCTTCAGCTCAAAGCTAGCACTCTACCACTTGAGCCACAGTGCCACTTCCAGCTTTTTCTGCCTATGCAGCTCTGAGGAATCGAACCCAGGACTCATGCATGCAAGGCAAACACTCTACCACTAAGCCACCTTTCCAGCCCCTGCTGTTATTTTTTTAATATTACTTGGGATTTAACTAAGTGCCGTCCACTTTCTAGACAAGCACTTTACCACTTGAGCCATATCCTGCAAGGCCTTTTGCTTTCAAACAAGAGTTGTTCTCTCTTTTAACCTCTCTTCCAAGTAGATGTGTATGGCCATAACCTGCTTGTTTTTAAGAGATGGTCTCACTAACTTTGTGATACCTCCTTCATAGTAGCTAGGATTTACAAATGCCCATTGCCACATTTAATCATTTGATTTTGTGGTTAGTTTGTTAATATGATCATTTATAATAAACTCTCTTCCAGCAATTAACTTAATCAATCTATGCCTCTTTTCCTAAGCTTATATGCTCGATACACAATTGCTATTCCTTGACAATGTCAACAATACCTTTTAAAAACTCATTTAAAGAGAAACTACTCAATTCTAAATCAGTATGAAATTTTAAATTATAATAACAAAAATGTGTTATCAATGAACTCATTTTTTCTTTGTTTTTCTTGTGATACATCTCATTCAAGAAAAACTAATAATACTCTCAACAAAATATAATTATTACAACAATAAGATAAACTGATAATATTTAATGTGATCATGGTCACTGCTGCATTCAGCAAAAATCTGAAACTACTTCAAGAATTTTTGTTGTATTTTCACAATAAAATAAAAAAATTAAAATTAAAAAAAAGAATTTTTATTGCCCATTTTTGACACTGTAATTATTTTGCATAACAATGAGAAATCATATTAAAGAAATTATTCTTCTCAAAAGGTATTAAAATAGAATATAACCAATAAGCAATGTCAAAAGCCTTAGATGAATTCAAGTAACATATTCAGAAAAAGGTAAGGGAAAACAGGTATTTAAATTTCTCCCCTACCATCTAGAGTTTATTTCCATCACACTCAATGAAACATTATCTGATTCATGTTTACATTTGTTCTTGTGTTAAGAGCATTAATCAAATTTATCCATAATAAAGTATTACTTATCACCAGACTACTAAAAATGTAATAGAATATTAGGAATTTAAGCCATGAAGAACATCTCTTTAAAATCCACATCACTGTCATTTTTTTTTTTTTTTTACCTGTCCTTTTGCTATGAGATAAGCAACAATTGAGGTATGTCCAAACTGAGCAGCCAGGTGAATACAGCTACATCCTTCCCCATCAATTAATGAAGGATCTGCACCGTATTTCATTAGCTGCACAACCATGGATAAATGGCCTTGTCTAAAACATAAAAAAAAAGATAAATACTTAGATGTGTAGTTATTTCAAACAAGATCTTCTGAAAAGAGTAAGCAAGACGATGGTGGTAAGATAACACACACATTACTATTTTAGTTAAGTTACTGAATATGTTATTTTAAAATAAGATTTATGTTAAGAGAATTTTATGGGCCTTAAAAGTCTTAACTAGAGTATCTGTCTTTGATAACTTGATTGCTCTATCAATATGATACTAATCATCCCAAGAACTGAGCTTGTTCTGTAATTATGAATATATATATATATATATATATATATATATATATACACACATGAGCTGCAAAAATAGTATACTTAAAATCTAAAATTTAAGCCAATATTAACTAGATTTAGCATAATTAATTCACTAAGGACACTGGACAATAAAATTTTCTTCTACTACAAGTAACACTGGATAGTACCACCCTGGCATAGCAATGATATTAATTATTGACATAATATATTATTCCATTTTAGCATATCATTAAAAAAAGACAAGCCAAAGAGAAAAATATTCCAAAGCAAATTTAAACCTTGTGGCCCAGTGCAATGGAGTCGAGTTCAGGTCTCCTCCAAGTTGATCCACAATAGCACCTTTAGAAATATAGTACCTATAAGACAAAATTTGTAACAACTTAAGTAGCTTTCATTTTCAATTTTAAGAATTATGTAAAAAATAATGTATACCATTTTAGATCTTGATCAAACTAATGGCCTTGTTTATAAAAAAAAAAATCTTTCAGATAGTTTAAAAAAACTTGTTTTATATCAAATATATTGTTTCTAGAAGAAAAAAATTTCTAGAAATAGTTTTACAAAAGATTTAAAAAAATAGAAATGCCAAATAATTGTATGAAAAGGAAGGCGGGTTGGGCACTGGTGATTCACCCTATAGTTCTAACTACTTAGGAGGTTGATCTGAGGATCACAGTTCAAAAAGCCTGCTGGAGCAGGTAAGTCTGGGAAACTCTTATCTCCAATTAACCACCAGAAAACCAGACAGGGAGCTGTGGCTCAATGTAGTAGAGCACTACTTTCTGTCTTGAGCAGAGAGCTCAGAGACAGTGCCTAGACCCTGAATTCAAGTCACACAATTGACAAAAAAATAAACCAACAAAAATTGATAAATAAAAGGAAGGTGGTTAAATAATCACAAAGATTTAAATATCCTACAGACCCTTGGAATCAGGACAGTTACAAAATAGGTAGGATATAGTCTTCTTTGGGTAGGGAAGCTTTGTAAGCTTATTTTTCTCCTAAGATTACTGTAGATTGAACATACAAAGAATTTTATGAGCTGTATGTTATAACATAAAATTCCCTATTATGCCTTCTATTTGTCATGCCTTTAAAAGCATGTTGTTCTTAAACAGAAAAAGTAATCATGTTGCCTATATATTAATACCATAACATCTTGGTATTCTCTGAAATGAGCATCATCTACCACTTATTACAATAATTTCTTTGGAACTGATCAATACAATGAATCTTGAACATAAATGATTTCAAGGCATCTGAAGTCAAATCTATGTATTTGAGGCTCTCAAGCTGTTCTAAATAATGACGGACTTAGGCTATAGTTCAAAACATTTAATAAAATCATCTTTAATACAGAAATTTTCTGGGAGTGGGGTACTGGTCCTGGGGCTTGAGCTCAGGATCTGGGCACTAGAGCTTTTGTGCTCTAGCATAGTGCTCTACCACTTTCAGATTGGAGATTAATAAGAGTCAGAGATAAAAGCCTGAAAATGGTAAACACCAAAACAAACTTTCCTCAAAAAAAAGATGACATGAAAATATTTTATAACAAAAATAAATTTGGTATGAGGAGATCCATACTGAAGGCAGTATGAAACATGTTCACTGAAGTAAAGCAAACTAGCATGGAACTGAATTTTTAGTTATTCATTTGGCTAATATTCGTCTAGGATTTTAAGGACGAATTCTTACTTGTCATTAGTACTTTACTTCCCTTTCCATTCTGCAGGCTGTGCTTAATTGCACAGCTGCAAACAGTTCAGTCTTTATCTGAAAAATCTGTCCCAAGTATCAGACTACTAAAGATGACTAGGAAAGACTTTCTAATAAAGAAAGGGATAAAAACAGTTTATATTTAGCATATGAAGTATTTGCTATGTATAGTGGTGTGATCTATTACTGTCTCAACTTTTGGCTTTCTTTCTGCTGCTTTGTCTGAAAAATCCACATTCAGAGTATAAGTACCAAATGAAATTGCCTAAACTGAATTCCAAGTTTTATTAAACTTTTTATTGTGTTTCTGTCATTAGGTAGCCAATTTATTTTATTTCTTTATTTGTTTGCTAGTGGTAATGGGGCTTTGAAAATTTTTTTATTATTGTATATTAATTGTAAAAAGTGGTTTCCTGGTTCTATTTCCAAAGATGCATATAATCTACTTTGATCAAATTTCCTATCATTCTGTTTCATATCATTCTTCCCCCTTTGCAAACAATTTTTAATGAATTTCACTTTAGGCAGCATATTTAATCTCTGTACTCCAGTTTCCTCATCAGCAAAACAGAACTGTTATATTTCATATGGGGTTATTTTAAGAATAAGATTTTTTTAAAGTTACACGAGGGCTGGGAAGGTGGCTTAGTGGTAGAGTGCTTGCCTTGCATGCACAAGGGCCCTGAGTTTAATTTCTCAGCACTACATAAGCAAAAAAAAAACACAAGTGGCTCTCTGGCTCAAGTGGTAGAACGCTAGCCTTGAGCTGAAGAGCTTAGGGACAGCGCCCAGGCCCAGAGTTCAGCACCCACAACTGACCAAAAAAAAAAAAAAAGAAAGAAAGAAAGAAAGAAAAAAAAGGTGAAAAAAAGTTACATGAGAAATCACACAGTATACTACCAGACCACAGAAGCTGCCAATGTGTTAAAAGCATTTTTTCCAGAAAAAAAGATATGCAGAATATACAGTTTAAAGTGTATTATTTTTATGATTAGAAACTTCAACAATTTTAAGATAAAATCAACTATTAAGTAGTCAAAAATGCAAAGCACACCTACTTGACTAAATCTATTCTGTTATTGATGGCAGCCCAATGAAGAAGTGTTACATTTTCTTTGTCTGGCTGCCGTACATCATAACCTGCTTCAACCAATTCCCGGCAACGTTCGTATATCCCATACCTTGAAAAGAGAGAGAGAGGAAAAAAAAGCAGTTACCATTTAACAATACATTTAAAGCTAAAAGTAACATTTTCAGAAGAAAATCACAGTCTACTTCCATATTTAGAGATTAAAATGTATTCATAAACATTATTATAAACATTATTCATAAACATTATAGAAAAGTATTCATAAAACGTAAAACATTTCTTTGAAAATACCAATATTTCAGCAACTTTTACTAATCTATTTTAAAGGGGGTGTGTCTGGAAAAGCAGTATGGAGGTTCCTCAAAAGACTAAACATAGAGCACTCCTATGACCCAGCAATCCCACTCCTGGGCATTTACTCAAAGGACCAGAAACAAGGCCATACAAACCATGTTCATTGCAGCATTATTTACCATAGCTAAGATATGGAACCAACCCAGATGCCCCTCAGTACACGAATGGATCAAGATAATGTGGTATATATACACAATGGAATGCTATATTTCTACCAGAAAGAATGGCACTGCCCCACTTATAAGAAAATGGAAAGATCTGGAAAAAATTACATTAAGTGAAGCAAGCCAGGGCAAAAGAAATGTAGGTTGCAAAGTTTCCCTCATTTGTAATAATTAGAATATGCCTACAACATTCTTAGCAAAGGATCACAATAGGCCAATCATTAGGTGCATATGACCATATACAATGAAGGTATCAAAATGATCTCCAAGAAGTGGAAACAAGAGGTTTTTATTATGTTGTTTGCAGTTATTTCTATTTTGTGTGTGTGTGTTAGTTTTCTGTACCCTTTGTCTTGTATATAAATTTATCTGATCCTTGGAAGAGAAAGGAAATCACAGAGACAGCAAGACAAAGGATAAACTAATGCAACAATGATACCCACTAGACACTACATTGGAAATTTACTACTTGGGGGAGAGGAGAGTGGGGAGGAGAAAATGGAAGAAAAATGAGGGAGGGAGGTCACAGTGTTAAAAAGGAAATGTACTCATTACGGTACTTATGTAACTATAACCCCCCCCTTCGTCACCTTTACAATAGTAAGTAAATAAATAAATAAACAAATAAATAAAGGGTGTGGGTACATGTGGGCATGGGCACATATTCTGAAGTCCTGGGGCTTGAACTCAGGGCCCTGGCACTGTCCCTGAGCTTCTTTTGCTTAAGGCTAGCATTCTACCTCTTGAACTATAGCTCCACTTATAGCTTTGTTTTTGGTGCTTAACTGAAGAGTCTCAACTTTCCTACCATACATAACTTCAAACCACATAGGTGGCTCATGCCTATAATCTTACTAAGGAGACTAGATCTGAGGATCGTAGTTCAAAGCCAGCTTAGGCAGGGAATGTCCGTGAAACTCTTATCAGCAAACTCTTAATCAGAAAAAATCCATAAGCACAGCTGTGGCTCAAATGGTAGAACACTCATCCTGAGCAAAATTCTAAGAGACATCACCCAGGTCCTGCTTATGCACACCAGACCAGCATATGTACATGCACACACACAAAATCTTATTTGCAAGAATGAAAACTCTCATGAGGTAGCAGTAAACAGAATACCAGAAATAAAATTTCAATGTTATTTATTTTCCTCCACCACCACTTATTCTACAAAACACTGGAAGGTTATAAAAATACACACCACTAAAAATATCACATACATAAAAATAAGTAACAAAAACACTTAAGTGATTAGAAGAAAATCAAGAAACATAGGGGCTGGGAAGGTGGCTCAGTGGTAGAGCGCTTGCCTTGCATGCATGAGGCCCTGGGTTTGATTCCTTAGCGCCACATAAGCAAAAAAGAAAAAAAGCCGGAAGTGGTGCTGTGGCTCAAGTGGTAGAGCGCTAGCCTTGAGCTGAAGAGCTAAGGGACAGTGTCCAGGCCCCACAACTGGACCCCCCTCCAAAAAAAAAAAAAGAAAAAGAAAAAAAAAGAAAATCAAGAATCGATGTGTAATTAAGTCTTAGGATTCTTTGAAGGTAAACAAAAACAGGTGTTTTGGGGGAAAGAGTACATGCTCATCAGCACATACAGAGAGACTCATCCTTGCTTCTGATTTTCTTTTTCTTTTTGGTTTTGTATTTCTATTGTGAAAATACCGTACAGAGGGGTTACAATTACATGGGCAAGGTAAGGAGTACTTTTCTTATCAAGCATTGTTGCCTCCGCCTTTGTTTCCCCTTACCATGCCTTCCCATCCACGCCCCCCCTTGCTTCTGATTTTTTATCACTGTGTGATAAGATTTTTGTAATTTCTTAATTATGAAAATTTTCAATTATAAACAGAAGTAGAAGGAATAGCACAAAATTTATTTTTAAACTGAGTTTGTACAGTGTGATGAACAGAAAGATAAAATAAACAGTTTCAGAGCAATAAATATCACATATGACCAATATAATTATAGTTTCAGCTGGGGAAAGGAACAGAAAAAAATATTTGAAGAATATTTGCAGTAGCTCCAAACTCCCCAATTTTGATGAAAATCCAAGGTTTATTTATCTGTCTATAAAATATATGTATAATGAATACATCTAATAAGCTTAATAAATTCCAAGTAGGATAAACAAAAAGACATAGCCAAATTATCAAGAGACAAAAACAAAAAAGAATATTTCAAGAGAAAATATGTAGCATTGAGTATATTCTATATACTAAGCATATTTAACTTTTTATGCATTAGCTATTTTTATATTGGTTTAACCCAAATAATTATAATCAATCTTAATATTCTTAGGGCACAATAATAAACTAGTTGATTAGCAAGTACTTAAAGCAATATTCAATAAATTGATGAGGAAGCTGAGATGCTGAAATTTTCCCAAGGTGACAATAACTTGAGACTCATATTTCACTTGGAAAATAAAAAAAGATGTCAAAGAAGAAAATAATTACAACAAAATCCTTACTGTGTAGCCTTGACAATGTCCCATGTACTATAATCATCAATATGAGTTTTCCGCCCAAGAGGTTCACCATATCCATGGTTATAATGACTTTGGGGTTTGATTTCCTGTTTAAAGAGAAAAATCACACACAAAGGAATGAAAAGTAAAAAAACATTTCAATATTTTCATTTGTGCTAGTTGGAAAATGTTTATTATTCAAATGAATAAGCTTTACCTTATTCTGGAGTCCGTATTCTAGAGAAAAAGCATGATCAAATATATTTACCCCTGGTTGATATTCCGAAAATTAAATGCTAAGATTAGAAATGTGTGATAAATTTAGCAGCTGAAATTCATCTTTAATGCTACAGAACTCTCCAAGAAATCAACTCTTCCCCTTTCAGATCCATTTTCCTATTACTCTATCTGCGCAACTCCCAAGTATAAGATTCTAACGTACTTTCCAAATAAAGATCCTAACAAAGGAAAAGAATTCCTATGGTCTTACAGAAAAATCTAACATGTAAGAATATTCCTCTTCTATTATTATCAGCTATTACCTTTACTTAAACTAGTTTATGCTTATGACTTGCTAAGCATTTACCAAGTTGAATAAGAAACAATGGAGCAGGGTGCTGGTGGCTCATGTCTATAATCCTAGCTATTCAGGAGCCTGGGCTGAGGATCATGGTTCAAGGCCAGCCCAGGCAGAAAAGACCTGGAGACTCTTATCTCCAATTGACCACCAGAAAATCAGAAGTGGGACTATGGCTCAAAGTGGCAGAGCATTGAGCTCAGGAATAGCGCCAAGGCCCTGCATTCAAGCCCCATGACCAACAACAAGAGAAATGATGTGCAATTCTAATAAAATCTAAGTCTATTTGAATACAATCATGGCCATCATAACATTTCAGACATGTTATGGAATACATGTATAGTAATACTGTAAAATTATACTATATCTAAAAAAATTCTAGCACCCAATATTGTACTTTTCCTATGTTTAGATATACAAGTACTTATAATGTTACAAATGTCTACTGGATTCAGTTCAGTAACGTGCTGTACAGATTTGTAATAAACAAAATCTTTAAAGGTTAATTTCCTCCGAACTCAGGAATGAGACAAGGATGTCCACTCTCTCCACTTCTCTTCAACTTAGTATTAGAATGCCTAGCAATAAGAGAGGATGCAAACATAAAGTAGATCCAAATAGGGAAAGCTGAAGTAAAACTCTCCCTCTTTGCAGATGTCATGATCTTGTATTTAAAGAATCCCACAGACTCCATCCCCAAATTACTCAAGCTGTTTCGAAACTTTGGCAAAGTCACAGGGTATAAAATTAACCCTCAATGGGCTGGGAAGGTGGCTCAATGGTAGAGCAAACGTTTGCCTTGCATGCATGAGGCCCTGGGTTCGATTCCTCAGCACCACATAAGCAAAAAGAAAAAAGCCGGAAGTGGCGCTGTGGCTCAAGTGGTAGAGCGCTAGCCTTGAGCTGAAGAGCAGAGGGACAGCACCCAGGCCCAGAGTTCAGGCCCCACAACCGGACCCCCCCCCCCAAAAATTAACCCTCAAAAATCAATAACTTTCCTGTATGCCAACAATGGGAAGAGTGCAGCTGAAACCAGGAAAGCAACTCCTTTTGTAATAGCCCCACAAAAATAAAATACTGAGGAATTAACTAAAGAAGTGAAGGACCTCTATGATGAAAACTTTAAAACCCTGAAAAAGGAAATCAAAGCACAACTTAGGAAGTGGAAAAACCTCCCATGCTCCTGGATTGGAAGGATCAATATTGTGAAAATGGCAACACTTCCCAAGGCTATCTACAAATATCAATATTCCAACCTCATTCTTCAATAAAAGAAGCAATCCAAAAATTCATATGGAACAATGAAAGACCCCAAATAGCCAAAGCAATCCTTAACAGAAAGAATAGTGCTGGAGGAATATCAATACCAAATTTCAAATTCTACTACAATGCCATAGTAATAAAAACAGCTTGGTACTGGCACAAGAACAGACCTCAGGACCAATGGAATAGAATTGAAAACCCACAAATGAACCCACAGACCTAGAGCCACCTAATCTTCAAAAAGGGAGCTAAAAAAACAAAATGGAAGAAAGACAGCCTTGTCAGTAAATGGTGCTGGTTAATCACCTGTAGAAAACTAAAGCTAGATCCTTGTATCACCCTGTACTAGAATCAACTCCAAATGGATCAAAGACCTCAAAGTCAAAGCAGACACCCTGAAAATATTACAGGAAGGAACAGGAGAAACCCTAGGTCTCCTTGGCACAGGCCAAAATTTTCTTAATACAGACCCAGAAACACAACAAATCAAAGAAGGTTGGACAAATGGGATTGCATGAAGTTGAAGAGCTTCTGCATGGCAAAGGACATAGCTAGCAAGATCAATAGAAAGCCCACAGACTGGGAGAAGATCTTAACTAGCCATACAATGGATAAGGGTCTCATATCTAAAATATACCTGGAAATCAAACACTTAAATTCCCCAACAACAAATCCTCAAAGAAACAACTGCCTGATAAATAAGTGGACTAAAGACTTAAAGAGAAATTTCTCTGAAGAGGAAATAAGAATGGCCAATAGACATATAAAGAAATGCTCAACCTCTCTAGCCATAAAAGAAATGCAAATTAAAATAACATGGAGATTCTACCTCACCTCAGTTAGAATGGCTATAATCAGGAAATCTAATAACAACAGATGTGGCCAGAAGGGAACCCTACTGCATTTTTGGTAATAGTGTAAACTTTTCAACCACTTTGGAAAACAGTATGGAGTTTCCTCAAAAGACTCCACATAGAGCTCCCCACTTTTGGGCATTTACCCAAATGATCACAAGCAAGACCATACTAAAGCTACCAGCACAACTATGTTTATTGCAGCATTACATACCATAGCTAAGATATGGAACCAACCCAGATGCCCCTCAGTAGATGAATGGATCAAGAAAATGTGGTATATATACACAATGGAATTCTATGCCTCCATCAGAAAGAATGACATTGCCCCATTTGTTAAGAAATGGAAAGACTTGGAAAAAATTATATTAAGTGAAGTAAGCCAGGCCCCAAAAAACAATAGGTCCCATGGTTTCCCTTATTTGCAATAATAACTAGTATATGTCTGGGCCAAGCAGAAAAGGGCAAAAGCTATGTACATATGACCAGATAAGATGATGTTAAGTGAAACGAACCCCAAGATAGGAACACAAGTGGTTTTTTTCTTTCTTGCTACTGTTTCTAAGGTATTTATAATGTACCATGTGATTTCTTTTGTTTCACTGTATGTTTCTCCCCCACAGTATAACCCCTGTTTTTACTGTATTTGGTGTCAGTGCCCTGCATCTTGTATATACACTTCTCTAATTTGGGGAGGGGAAGGGTAAAAAAAAAAAAAAAGCTTAAATAGGGATACAGGTTGACCCATTGTAACAATGAGATGTACAAGACACTATGTAGAAAAATGAACTTTACAATTTAGGCAGTGGAGGAGGGGAAGGAGGAGGAGTGTTGTTGAGGAGGTGGGAGGGAAGGGATGGTAGGGGAAAAACAAAGGAGGAGGCAACAATGCTTGATAGGAAATGTACTTATTACTACCTTGCTCATATTACTGTAACTCTTCCGTACAGTATTTTACAATAAAAACATTAAAATTTTAAAAATCTATAAAGGTTATAAGATACATATTTTAAAAATCTAAGTTTAAAAAACAAGTCGTTTAAGGATACAGGTGGACCTGTTGCAACAATGAGAAGTACAAGGTCATGTCGAAAACAAGCTTTACAACGTTGGTGGGGGAGGGTGAGGGGGAAAGATGGGGGGGTAAGGGGGAGGTAGGGAAGGGATGTGAAGGGTAAACAAAGGAGGAGGCTGCAATGCTTGATAAGAAATGTACGCATTATCCTGCCCATGTAATTGTAACCCCTCTTTACAGTATGTTCACAAAAAATATATAAATTTTAAAAAAAATCTAAGTTTACAGATAAAGGTATCCAATTTTCCCAAAAGCACTCAGGCAGGGGTTAAGAACTAAATAGCATTATTAAATGCTGCTAACTACTGCAAAGTGCTGTTGAGAATGCTAGTTTTACATTAAGTTTTAACTCTTCATTTGAATAAACATTCTATAATGCCTTTTATGGAATGAAACAAACTGCTGGTGAGGCCTTCAGGCCTTTGAATGGTAGTGGATACACTCTTTCCTTCATGCTTGGTAGCCTTGAGTGGGTAACTGTCAGCAAATGCCAACTGACCAGAATGCCCTTGCAGCAACCCAGCTGCAAGGCTGGGTTATGATAACCACTCTAATATTAGACACCCTAATTCCAATGTAACTTCAAATGCACCCAGAAATCCTATACCAAAAGGCCTGGTTCCAAACAGAAGCATTCCAGACAACTTGTATTAGACTTGGAAGGTAGTAAGACAAGTAAGTAAGGCAAGCCTTTGTGAGCCTAATCATCTGCAGCTACTTACAAGATGAGATAGAGATCACCTAGTGAGGGCTATGAGGTCTACTTTTCTTAAAAATCAAGTCCAGTAGGTTGAGCTACAAACAAAAAAAGAGACAACAGAGCCTCAGTAGGCTGATGGCAACAAATGTTTACACCAGCAGTAGTGGTGAGAGTTGTAGAAAATAGCTGCTGAGCAGAAGCAATCTAAAGCAGGAGAGAAAGGGTGACAGAGGATGGAAGAAGCATAAAGAAGGCAAGACAAGACAGAAAGTCAAGATGGCAAAAAGTGGTGAGCACAAGACTGAGCCTCGGCGACTAGAAGAATTCCTGGAAGCTGCGAAGCTTTGAAGACTAAGAGTCTCAAAGCCCAAGGCTGCAACACTAGCTGATGCTAGTAGTAGCTAGTAGCTGATGCTACTGCTACCTGTAACTAGTACTTAGAATTGAGAGATTTACTAGCTGCAAAGAGCGAGGCTACTGGCAATTAAGGCTCACAGTGATAAGACTGTATATCTAATGCTATAGGTCTCTGACCTATATAATTTCAGGGCTTGAAGCTATAAGCTTCTGAACCTGTTGGTCCAATTCATAAGCCTTCATCAATTAAGGACCCAGGACTACCAACCCTAGAAGTGCTA